ATACCGTTAATTTAAATACTTATTATAATTACTAGGCGCTAACCCGCTCCTTTTCTTTAAATATTATAAAATAAGGTAATTAATAATAATATAAAAAGGTTTATCTATATATAATAAATATTACCGCTACGCTTTTAGAGCGCTTATAATCGTTAGTAATTCGCTATTATTTATATTATAATAGGTTTTTTTAAATAATTTTATTTAAAAGAAAAATATAATCGGGTACTACTATATATTAAATAATTATATTGATATAGCGCCTATTACGAAATCGGACGTATTTATTTCCATTCGGATTAATAATATTGGGTCGATATATTAGAATATTAGAATTTTTTAGAACTTCCGCTTTAATTCTTTAAATGCCCGTAATACCAATTCTATTAATTCGAATACTATCCTTGTATTTCCCTTTAATAAATCTATAATTTCAAGATTTATAATTACGAACCGTTAATAAAACTTTGTAAATTTCAAGAAGATTTAAATATTATAGAGATTTATTAAGGTTTCCTAATTTGTAATTACCGCTACCCGTTCGGGATTTATAGAAATATTTTCTAGAGAGACGATATAATTTAAAAATAAAATTCTAATTATATAAAATTTATATTTCTTTAAATTAATATATAAATTATAGTTATATAAACGCCGAAGGGTTTTCTTAATATATTTATAGTAATCTTTTTTATTTTTACTATAGATTATAGTATTATTGAAATAGGTAATATAAATAATATTAATCAATTGTAGGAAAATATTATTAATATACGTTTAAAAAATAATTAGAATATTCGTTAACCCTATAAATATAATTAAGAATTTATAATGCTCGTAAGGCGTCCGAAATATCATTTTATATTCGTCCCCTTCCTTAATCCGAATACGATAGTACGCGTCCTTTAAATTTAATTTAGTAAAAGTCTTCGCTAACGATAATTAATTTAAAATTTCCTAAATTAGCGGTAATATAGTAAGGTTCTTCTTTATAATCTTATTAAACGTATAGTAATTAATATACAACTTTAATTTACCTCCCTTCTTTAATACAAAAATAATACGGGCGCTTACTAAATTAATAGACAGCCGGATTTAACCTTCAACAGCGCTTCTATAATTTATTCTTAGAGGATTTTCAATTCTTCAATATTTAGGGCGTAAATAAATTTAAATGAAAATACTTCTCATTCTTTGAAGTTAATTCGGTACTCTAACCAATTATATTGAAATAAGAGTGCGGATAATATTTCGAAAACCTATTTAATTTCCTTATATTCGGAGGGAATTATTAATTTATTTCCTTTGGTTACTGGCGGCTCTAGGATAGGCGTTTTTTATAGTATTAATTTTAGTAAGGGTTTTAACGGGGGTAAACTCTATTTAACGCGACTTTAAAAATATAAAGGGAATATTCGGGAGACTCCTCCGCCGGGAGTAAGGAATTATCAAAAGAATTTGGGGATTCTAATAGGGTTAAAAATTCTATACGAAAAGAAAGTAGAATTTTAAATAGGGTCGATGAATATTAGGGTAGGGAAAAATTATTAACAATCTAATTCTTTATATCCTTTATAACTATTATTAGAATTAAATTCTAATATAAATTTATTAAAATAATAGCGGCGTAATAAATATCTTTCGTAGGCATTTTACTTTTAAAAGAATTATATATTTCAATATAAAAATGGAATTTTCTTCGCCGCTAATCGATCTTAGAATTAAAATTATATAATTATAAATAATTAAAAATAATATTAACGTTAAGAGAATTAATAATTATAAACGTTATTTATTACTACCGCTTAATATTAAAGGAATTATATAATTTAAGGAAATAAATAATTAAACTATATGTAGAACCAGATTTAAAATAGAAATTAAAGAGATAGTAATTTATAAAATTAATTTTAATACCTTCGGCGAATAAATACCGATTAATAAAGTTCAATTCCGACTTAGAATTTATTAATCCGTAAACCGCCTACTAACTTTAAGGCCTCCTTACTTTTAATTTCGTATTTAAATATAATTTTAATTTATTTACGTCTTCTTAAATTGGTATAACAACTATTCTTACTAATATAATGAATTTAACATTCGTTTTTGAATTAGAATTAATTCCTGGGAACATATATTAAAACAATTTATATTTTTCATTATTATATTTGTAATAGATTTTATTAGGGTAAATAAATATTAAATATCTAATTTAACTATATTCGAAACGAGTATCATCTGGCTTCTCCTCTTAATTTTAGCCGTAAATATAATTATTCTAACAATAATTATTATAAATAATAATCGATTACATCAATATAGAATTAGAAATAGGTAGAACGCTAAAAGAAATAAAATTAGGGGTAGGAATAGGATTAGGGGACGATAATTAGGAATAAAGTACCTAAAGATAATAGGATTACTATTACCGCTATATTAAAAACCGATTTTTAAATCCCGAAATTTTCTCCATATATATTATAATTTCCTATAATATATTAATACTATAAGCCGATAGGATTCTTGAATTAAAATAAAGCTATAACCGGTTTATTTATTACGAAATAATATCAAAACTCTAATTAAGTATACAATAGGTTAAATTCTGCGGTATAAAATTATTAATAAAATTTGCCTATAGTTTTAGTCGGGCCTTATTATATATTTTTAAAATTAAATAAGGCGGTACGTTCGTTAGTGTAAATATTATTACTATATTTCCGTTCGAAGAACGAGCGAAATTCTTTTTAAATAGGAGCGTTGCGAACGTAATTATGATTAGGCTACTATATAATATGTTAACGATAATTAATTTAAGAATTCTTAAAGTTTCCTTCGAAGTAACATTTAATAAAGTAAATATATAATAGTTTATTAACGTTTAAACCCGATTTAAGGAAGATATTTTCTATATTGTAAAAAAATCCCTTTAAATAAATTAAATTTTTACTTTTATAAAAAGGATTATTAATTTTAGGACAAGTAAATAGGGAGGAAGAAAATTTATTAAAAGGCGTCGGTTAAATGGAAATAAGAGAGAATAATTACATAATTTAAAAGGTAATAGAGATAGTATTAATACGGAATTAATTATAGAAGAGGTAATTTTAATAGAGGAAATTATAAGGAATAGGAGGATAATTACTAAATTAATTACAAATAGAAAATTCTACGAAATTATCCTATTCTTAAAGAGAAAGGCGCGAGGGGAGGGTAAATATAAAGAATTTAATAACTTTAATATAAAATTCGTAATGAGTTTATTTAAATTCTATTTTATAGTCTTTGAAAAAGGGGTTACAATATACGTAGGAGGCATAGGAATATTAATTATTATTAAAGCCGTTATCGTTTATTTTTTTTAATAAACTGCTAATAATATTAAAATAAAGGGGGAGGTAAATAAATAATATTAAGTTTTGCAATTATAGGAATAGCTGGTAGGCCGGAAGGAAATTCTTTTTATAAAGGTTATTCCGAAGGGGTATTATTAATAATTCGAGAAACGGAGCGTCCGTTATATATTTATATCCTATTAGTAATAATTTAATCCCCGGAGGGTAAAAATATTAATATATTAAGACTAGTGGAGGAAGGTAAATTAAAGTGCCTACGAATGGAGCATTTATATAGGGGGCGATTGCGAATCAGGGGTATAATAAAAGGTACTTTAATATTTAAACCGTTTTCCTAAGGGAAGAAGCTCCGATAATTATTTATTTATATATCAAAACCCGTCTTATAGTAGCGTAGCCCGTAAGATCTCCGAGCCGTTCCAACGCTATATAACGCTAATACTTAGCGTTCCTACTAGGGCTCGTCGGAGTCCTTCAGTTTAAGTGCCTACCGGTGCGGTGCTAGCCCTTTTAGGGCCTAATATTAATACCCGTATTAAATACCTTTAGCAAATTTAGCGCCCGTATCGAATACCCTTAGTAAACGTATCGCTACGCTTTTAATAATTCCAATAACCCTTATACGCTATACTTAATTATATATACATTATTATATTACTATTATATTCAATCTTAATATTATCTAATTATTTACTATCTTTTAATTTTGTCCCTTTATAATCCCTACAACCGTCAATCTGGGGTACGTACGGACGAATAAACTAAATCGCGACTTTTAAATTTTTATAAAATTCATTTATATAAAGAATTTTAAAAATTGTCTTACAAGAATCCCCTACTTTTCAATAAAGTTCTCATTATTATCTTATTTAATTCGTCGAATTAATTCTAAATTTAGTCTCAAATGTATTATATCTTATTTATATGAAAAGTTTTTATTATTTTTATTTTAAATTATAATATTCTTACTTTTACTCAGAAACAATTATTTTTAATCATTATAAATATAGAGACCTTTTTTTCCTACTGGGTTTTTACTAGCCTATGCCTAACGTTTAGTACTTGTCATGGCATGGCTGGACAGGTTACCAGAGCACTGGCCACTGGGCAATGGGGTGCCAGGTACAGGGCACCATAACACATCGGATGGAAAGAGGCTCATGTTCTTATCGATAAGACCGTACGGAAAGGGAAGGCGGGAACGAGTGGCAGTTCTGACTTATATGTCCAGAACCGTGATGCCCTCGTTTGACAGCTTCCTTTTCCTCCTTACACTTAATATTACTTTGATTTGTGGCTTCTAGTCTTGTTGTCTTATCACTTGTAGGATCACGCTTTCACAGTACTTGGAAGAAGAGAACTTCGTTTTCGGCTTTTGGCTCGAGGGGGAGTATTAAACAAGATACATTTCGATCCTTATATAGATTCTTACTCGTATCGTTTCACATCCTTATATATATATATATCGAGGGTTTCCCTCTCTTTCTCTTTGCTCTCTTTCTTCTTCAATCAATAAGTTCACCACCACTCTCTTGTGCCTTGTCTACGTTCACTCCGTTCACTTCGACAGATAGTTGTTCGAGTGGTTCATGGCCAACTATAGACAGCGGTATGCTTGGCAGGAAGTCCTCGTTGAGGATAAAGATGGCCAGCGCCGCCCTGTTGAGAGTGTTTCTATGATCGACCGCTAATCCGCCAATCCCGTGGATCATCCTCAAGTCATGTCCTCTCACAGTACGAGAAGGAGACCTCTTTGCTACAGTCTTTGTCAACCACCACTGTCGATCACTCAGAACCATCAAAATGCGTCAATCAAGCCTGCTTGCGGCGGCTCTAGCCATCGGCGCCCGTGGCGCTGATGCTCTCCTGCGCTTCACTTGCTCTGAGCTCGTCACTGAGCGTCTGGATCCGTGAGCTACTCAGCCAAGCCCTCTCATACGCCTGAACCCAATCACTGACATACTCTCTCCCCAGTATCGTCTTCCCTGGCTCCTCCCAGTCTCCCCATCTTCACCAAATCGTGGGCGGCAACTCCTTCAACATCACCATGGACCACAGCCGCCACGACATTGCCCAAGAGTCTACCTGCACCACCTGCGAGTTCTCCGAGGATTTCTCCAACTATTGGACCGCCACGCTCTTCTTCCGCGCCCGTAACGGCATCTTCAACCGGGCCGCCCAGCGTCCCAACGTGCTCTTCGACGGTGCCCGTGGCGGCGGCATGTCCGTCTACTACACCGCTCCTTGGGATGGGTCCAAGGCAACCGTCTTCCAGCCCGGCTTCCGCAAGATCGTCGGCAACCCCTTTATCCGCAACGAGACGGCCGCCAACCAGTGCCGCCAGCTGAGCTTCACCTGCCTGGACGCGCTCGACACCCGCACGGGCGAGACCAAGTCCATGCCCAACCAGCGCTTGAAATAACTCAACTCGACTCAACTCGGGGGTTCGAGTTAGTTGAGTGGGTCAACTCGAGACCTCGAGTTGAGTTGAGTCGAGTTGAGTCGGCGAGTTGGCCGCCTTCTTAGCAGGCCGGCAGAATTTTTTTTTGGAAGTAAAATTGCCCGGGGACCGGATTCCAAAAGGGGTCCCCGGATGGGGGATAGGTATTTTGTATGGCCCCACCGTTTGGCAACTTACTCAACTCAACTCGAGGGTCCCAAGTCGAGTTGCAGCTCCAGCCAAAACCGCCAAGTTGAGTCGAGTTGAGTTGAGTTGAGTTGAGTCGAGTTACGTGAGGTGAGTTGTTTCAAGCGCTGTGCCCAACCGCATCTGCAAGGAGGGCATCATGGCCAACGTGCTCTTCCCCACCTGTTGGGACGGCAAGAACTTGGACTCCGCCGACCACTCCTCGTACGTTGCCTACCCCTCCAGCGGCACGTTCGAAACCAATGGCCCCGGCCCGGCGTCCCACCCCGTCAAGATCCCCCAGCTCTTCTACGAGGTCATCTGGGACACCAGGCCCTTCAACGACAAGAGCATCTGGTCTGAGGACGGCAGCCAGCCGTTCGTCTGGAGCTATGGTGACTTCACCGGCTACGGCACGCACGGTGACTATGTCTTCGGCTGGAAGGGCGATGCGCTGCAGCGGGCGATGAACGCCAACTGTGATACTTGCGATGGCGTCCTCAAAGAGGCCGACCATTGCGCAGGCCAACCAGTGCTCCCAGAAGCAGAAGGTCGCGGAGAATATTGATGGGCGGTTGACTGAGTTGCCGGGTGCCATGCCGATCATGGGCCCGCAGCCGGGAACGGGAAGCGGTACTACCCCGACGCACCCGACGACGCCGGGTACAGGTAACGGTGGTGGTAGTTGCACTGTTGCGAAGTGGGGACAGTGTGGTGGTAAAGGGTATACCGGGTGCACGACGTCTGCTTCGGGGTCGACTTGCAAGAAGCAGAACGACTGATACTCGCAGTGCTTGTAAAGTGGTGGAATGCGGTCGTAATGGGGGCCGTGATTTCGGTCCTGTGTGACGATGTGCGTGTTAGATGGGAACGAAGGTGTCTGGGTGGGCTGTACATAGCAATGGAGGACAAAGACATTGATGGCATAGTACATATTACATACTGCATTCTCGCAACATTCCTCATGTTGGTGCTCCAGTAACATGAGTTAGATCCTCAGTGTTAACATCGAGACGAGCGTAGATCTACCGTCAAGGTCAGCAAGTGATATACGCGGACGGAGTAAAGAAGCCAAGCATACCTGGAACTCTCCAATGACTGCGACACGAGCTGCGAATAGAAGCTCTTGATGTCACCCAACGAGATCATGGTGTTGCGCTCCTCCCCATTCTCCTTTGCCACAATCTCTTCGTATACCGGCAATTGGGATGGCTGAACAACAATGATGCAGAGGCTCTTGAGGTTCGAGAGGACGGACATCCATGCCTTGTTGCCCACATCCGACCTGTATAACATCGTATTCGACGGCGAAGAAGCAATAACTGGGTGCGTCAACTCCAGGCGTCGAATCGGTAGGCGGTCGGCTTGGGGAAGTATGCTCAGGAGATCTTCGTTATCTTCTTCGGCGACAATACGGAAGGTGTTTTCGGAGTAGAAGACGTCAAGAGCTTCGGCTCTTGTTTGTTGGTTGAGGGAGAGAATGGCTGTGGTGTCGTCATCTAGAAGACACTCGAATACGGGTCGACTGCGGCTTAACTCGACGGTGTCGGGCTGGACGACGACTTCGCGATAGATGAAGATGCGGATCTCGAGGGGCAGGTCGAGGAAGCCGACTGTCTTGGGGTCGGGGAAGGGGAGGAAGCGCGTGGTAGACATGGTCAAGAGACGGTCGTGATGATTTCGTCGAGGGTAACAGGGCGCTAAAAAAGTAGATGCGCCTCGGTCTCTCGAAAAATTGTTTATGAGATGTCGAGGTCGCCGGTAGCCAGCTTCAGTACTGGAGGACTGGGTGTGGCCGATTGTTATTTAAGCCATGGCGACTGGAGATGATGGCGGATTATTGACGACGACAGATCGGTCGATGCGGGGCATGATGGTGTAGAAACTCCATCGCCAATGGATTACTGCAGAGAATTTGTGTAGAGGCGGGTGGTGCGCGAGTGACCACATCACGGCTGACACTGTCGGAACTTTGTCGCAAGGGGCAGGAAATCGGCAACTGGAGAATGATCAAAATGGTCGCCATGGGAGGATCATGGTGTTTTGTCCAGGCGGAAAGGCAGGGAATCTGCCCTTGTGTGTATGACGTAAAGGTTTGCGACTCGGCGTCTACTTGTAGTGTGCGTATGCCGCATGCGGAAAGGTGCCATTGGGGTACATAAATCCCCTTACCCGGCCACCTTTCCGTGGTTGGTTCGGTGGTGTAAAAGGCAACATCCCTGAGGTGGAATGATTCCACTTCTGACTGAGGTCCTTGAGGAAGATATTGGTTCGAATCCAAAACGGACCATACCACACTTGTTTTTTGCACTTTTTTTCGAATTGTCTATATTGTTATCTCTCTAGATATTCATCAAAAAGGTGGTGTTCCTTCCTGGAGACAAGCTCGGCAATGAAATACCGTTCGTTGGTAGTCATTTCAACGGTAGGGGTGGACGGACGTTCAGGTGCATGCATGTAGGTGGCGAATCAGCGATATGCACGCAAACGAACCGCCAAAACATCGGGAAACTAAGCAAACAGCCCCAATGCAAAGCTCCCAGCCAAGACGTCACTCCATCAACAACTTTACGATCAGGGGGACATTCCCTTTGCCGCAGCTGTCAGACGGAAATACCTGTGCAACCTTGGAGACCTCTTCCGTGCCGTCGTGCAACATTGTTTCCTGCAACGGGAAACACTTCACCAACCAGTCGGGCCGTGTTACCTCATTTCATCAGCCGGCAAGTGCTACGGTTGGCCACTGGATTGATTATGGTGCTGCTTAAACTTCGTGAAAAAGTGCATTCAGGATTGATTGGGTTTTATCTGCGCTTACGCCCCCAATGCCCTATGTTCGGGTCGATCTCGATCTCATACATGATTGAAGCCAACCTTCAGGTGTGCTAATGCGGCTGCTAGGTCTAATGGAAGTAAAACATCGGAAATCATCATCGGTTTTGAGATCAAGTCACCTTTTTGGGGGAAACTTGGGTGCAAGGCGGAAGACATAACTTTTCACGGTTGTCAGCCAGGCATTGGCATTTCGCAGAAAGTCAATGACAGTGAGTTAACATGGTCCATGACTTGAAATTCTCAAAGAAACGGAGCTAATAACTAAAGAAATGTATGAATGAATGACAGGTACCCACGATGGCTAGCATATGCAGGCCCGCTATGCTAGCCCGTGGAGTTCGGTGAAAACAAAAAGGGGCCCCTTCAACGAATGAAAATCTCCAGTAAAGACTGTGAACAGGACTCACTCCCCAAGTACACTTCCGTACTAAGGTAGCCCATAACCCAGCGTCCTAGCCTCCATTCTTCAACATTCCTTTCAGGATCTGGAAGTCTGAAAAAAGACAACTATGAGTCCTTTATTCCTCCTCCTGCAGGTACCGCTCGTGGCCATCTCTCTTCATGATCTCCTTTACTTCAGCCAGGTGCCTGTGGAGCTTGCTAACATTGATGAGCACCGTCGATACATCCCCGACAGCTTCATTATACTGGACAGCAATATTGAGTCAGTCGGGCCTTGTCCTGTTCTTCGCAATCGGCTAACTTACACGATCTTCAGGCCTATTACTAATATCCCTCAACAACTTCTTCAAAGCGTCGTTGGCTAGGGCAGGGAATATCGTCAGCATTGGATGAAGAGGTGTTCAGACCTTTAGTCGGTGACCAGTAGCCAGGGTATAAATTACCTGCGTAACAAGCATCAGAGGCGGCCTCAAGGTGAGGTCTGAGTGCCTCGTGACTTTTCGTGAGAACCTCAGTCGCCTTGTTCTCGTCACCGGGATAATGAGCCTTGAATGAGAACGTTGCCGCCGCGTCATCAGCGGGCTCGGGTAAGCCGTTGAACGATTCGTAAAAGTACAACTCGAATCCACGCGCCTTGTACTTTTCCTTAACACTCTGCGGAGAGTCACTCAGGAACTCGTGTATAGTTTGCCAGCTGAACGCCAGATCGGCAATGCGCTCCCCTAGCGACATTTCGGACTGACTTGAGTCAGCTTGCGAGCTTCCAGACTGACTGCCTGCCATTGTGACACGGACAGGGATTATGAACAAATGATAAGTTAACAAAGAGTGCAGCTTGGGTTCTGGTGAGGTTGAGGATGGAAACCTGGTGGAGTGATATCGCCTAGACTTTATAGTCTTCAAGAGCCACAATGTCCTCAAGTGCTTTGTGAAGGCTGATAGCAACTAACAAGCAGAGGCCAGGACTAAGACGGTACCACATAGTATCATCTGTATGATACTCAACCTATCTTTCTTTCACCGGCTCAGATACGAGGAGACTGTTATGAGCATCCAACACTTGTTGGGTCGTCTTGGATCACAGGATGCGGAACTCACGAAGAAAGCCTCACAACGACCCGACATCTTTCCGTGTACAATTACATGACTCGGGATGTGTACGGACTGATGTTGGTTACAGACTTGCAGGACACGGCCGGGTGGTTGGTGTCATTCTTTGGGAACAGAAAGGCCATCTTTGAGTGGACATCGGTCGGATAAGAGAAGTTCAAAGCAGTTCACAAAATTGACACTTCGGAAATGGTTAATGGATCGTGGGGAGATGCCAGTATACCTACATGCACTAGAGATATGTCTATACTTGTCGACAATACCCGAGGAGTTTGAACCATGTTACTGGACGCATTCACGTGGGGTTAGGGTTGAGTTACACTCAGCCGTTGTCTGCTTTGTTGGTCGTGTGAGGCCGGTGAGCATCTGTCGCAGGCCATGGCGATGTTCTGTGGTGCTCAGGTATGTCCAGAGCTTGGCTCACAAGCAAAGGGTCTTGTAATGGTTGACACGCGGTCAATAGGTATGTTTCGAACGTGGAAAGTTGGAGTTTCGATGTTGCGAAATCGAGACTCGCTTGCTGTTGGGAATTGGCCCGTGTCAGGCGTCACTGCTTCTAGACGCTAAGGGCGTGTTTGGATGCTCTGAAATTGGGCTCTTAAATGTTCAGACCCGGTTTTTTCAGAGTGCTGTTTGGAAGCGCTCTGAACGTTACTGTTCTGAAATTGTCTTTTTAGAGTGCTGTTTGGAAGCGCTCTGAACGTTTTGGTTCTGAAATCTTTTCAAAATCCCCGTTCTGAAATTCTGGCCCCACTCTTTGAGATGCATCCAATCAAATTTCATCAAATCCTCGAATTTCAGAGCCAACATTCAGGCCCAAGAACGTTTCTGAACCAAAATCAGAATTTCAGATATTTCAGAAAGGCCCGTGCAATACTTCTGACAAGCTATTTCAGAACACCCACTTCAGAGGGCCATTTCAGAGCATCCAAACACGCCCTAACAGTTCGCTGCCCCTGCAGCTAGTGCGGGGCACCCGCTGGTCACTGTCATTTGCTGCAGTGGGTGCATTGGCACCTGTCAGAGCGAGCGAATCCTGATCCGTGCGCATCTGCTTTTAATTCACCTCATGTCTTCCACAATTCTCTCCCTTGCTTCATCCGTTCCCGAAAAAAGAAGCCGCCGACATTGAATGCGTCAACAACGAGTTCGAGAAACAGCGCACAACATTCATCTTCCTTCTCATTTGTATCTACCACTCTCTCTTTTGAATCAACATATCTTCCCAGGGATGACTCCCAATAGACCGAATCCAAAGCCGAAGTTTGGTGCAGTGTCGTCGATGGGTGTTGGTGATTTCACACATGGCCCGTGCGCCCAATCCCGACATCGATGTCCGGACTGTCGGATGTTGCTTTCAGCACCTTTTCGCGAACGGTGTTTTTACATTCCAGTCTGTTCACGAATTTCCCCAAAATTCCGACTGCGCGGCATCCATCTCTACCAACTGCCTTCGAACATTCTGGCATCAGGTCTTCTGTCGATGAAGGCTGGCTGAAGAACTGTTTGCGATTGTCCGTTCGCGGTACTACCCGACTCTTGTGCCGATTTCGCTTCTCCCAAGCCAGAGTCCGCTGGTAGCCATACCACAGCATCGCCGTCGCCCTAGCCCATCGTTTCTCGACGTTCACACCTCATGTTGTCTGCCACGGCCCTCGGATATCGTACTTGATCACTTCATGGCCATGCGAGGGGCGCCGCTAGTGCAGCCGCCCTTCTCTCATCTTTCTGATCAGTCAATTAAGTAATGGCTTTTTCACAGCTTTGACCCTAACCCTCATCAACATCGAAATTGTGATGACCGCCGGGGGAGGTCAAAGCTATCGTCATGTCTCGAACAATGGTGTCGATCTGGGTCTACATCTGCCGTCTACCCGCTGGGTTTCCGACCATCATGTGCGAGATCCCAGATCCGGGGGACTGGGGAGATGCGGCGGCTCAGCTTTGTCCTTGCATGCCAGCCACCCGTGTCCTAAGCCGTTGATTCACAACAACCCAATTAAGGGAGCATGCCAGTCGCCATGTAAACATTGCCGAGTCCGTATATACCGACCGGTATATACAACTGCTCGCGTCTGGCTCTGTCAGTCTGTCACGATTCCTTTGTTCTGGGAAAATTGTCTCTTGCATCGTCCTCGTCGGTTGGGTGTTGTCGTTGTGTGTTCTACTAACCATCCAGGAACCCCCTTTTTACACTCGTTGATCCCCTTTCACATCACCAACTAGTCACTCGTTGTATCATCCCCAACACCCTATTTTAATATCAGTATACGTTTGTTTCCCCTTCTAGGCGGCTTGTTGCCCCTGCTCGGCTTCGTTGGTGCCGCTCCAAGCTGCAACCATGAGTGCAACCGTGCTTGTTGGACATCCCGGTTCAACGTCAACACGGACTACGAAAACGAATGGCCCGTCACTGGGGTTACACGGAAAGTAAGACTTCCCGAAGTTTGTTCAAGATTGGCAAAGGCTCCCACATGCTGACACTAGGCACTACAGTTCGACTTGGAAATCACCGAAGTGGATGAATGGGTTGGCCCAGATGGTCACATCAAGAAGGGAGCCATGCTCATCAATGGTGAGATACAGCCAACGTGCCTCCAATTCTCCCAATGCTCAACCGCCTTCTAACACGAGGTCGAATAGGCGGGTACCCAGGTCCACTCATCAAGGCGGACTGGGGCGACAGGATCGAGGTCACAGTCACGAACAGGCTTAAGGTCAACGGGTCAGTTCCGTCCTTCCAACTGCAGTACGAGCCACTGATACTGACAATTCTTTCAGCACGTCCATGCACTGGCATGGTTTCCACCAGCTGAACAGCAACAGCCAAGATGGCGTGGCTGGAGTTACCGAGTGTCCCATCCCTCCCGGTGACAGCAGGATCTACTCGTTCCTGGCAACTCAGCATGGAACTTCCTGGTTCGTCCACATGTGCCACTGGACTCCTGGAGGCGTCAACATATCCGCTGATCATGATCTGTTTCCAGGTACCACTCGCACATCTCCTCGCAATATGCCAATGGCATCGTTGGCCCGATCCAGATCAACGGTCCTTCCTCCTACCCGTACGATACCGACCTCGGCGTCTTCCCTATCAGCGACTGGTACTATGACTCCGCTGAGCATATTGTAGACTGAATGATGGACCCCAACGACCCGTTTGTCAAGGGTGTCCCTGGCTCTCCTCCGCCGAGTAACAACATCCTCTTCAACGGCATGAACGTCGCACCCAACGGAACTGGAGGCGAATATGCGAGATTGAAGTTCACAAAGAACAAGCGTCATCGTCTCAGGTTGGTCAACACCTCTGCCGATAACACATTTGTTGTTTCGATCGTTGGTCACAACATGACGGTTATTGAGACGGACTTTGTCCCCGTTGAGCCGTACCTGGTCCACTAGCTTTACCTCACCGTTGGACAGCGTTATGATGTCGTTATCAAGGCGGACCAAGAGGTGGACAGCTACTGGCTCAACGCAACTCTGTCTTCGACTCCCCTTTGCGGCGCATCGCTCAACCCTCACCCAGCTGCCATTGTCTCATACGAAGGCGCCGACGAGACCAGATTGCCCACCAACATCGGCCTGCCTGCAATCGAACAGTTCTGCGAGGACGAAGTCACTGCTAAGCCCCTAACCTCGAGGACGGCGCCAAAGGCAGACTTCACCAACACCAAGGTGGATACCCTGGCTGTGACCCTTGACGTGAAAGAGGTGAACAAGGGCATCTCCAAGGTGCTTTGGGCGGTTGATGGCTCGGCCATCGATGTCCAGTGGGAGAAGCCGACGTTGGAGTACGTCGTCGAAGGGAACTTTACGTTTCCGAGACAAGCGAACATTATCAAGCTGCCAGAAGCTGCCAAGGTTTGTTCCCTTATCATGCACCACCGTGTCCCTTGCATTGACGATCCGGAGCTAACGTGGGAAACAGTGGTCCTTCTGGGTAATCCAAAACAACTCTCCCGCGCCGCATCCCATGCATCTCCACGTGAGTTCTCCTGTTCCCTCCTCCCTTGCTCCTGCATCTCGGCTGTACCAACTACCAAATTCCGAACTAACATCAACCCTTCCACGCACAGGGCCACGACTTCCTAATCCTCGGCCGTTCCCGTTTCGTCGCCAACCCACTCGTCGACCCCGGTCGTCCCATCGTCTTTGACCCTGCCGTTGACGGTCCCCATCTCAAGTTCGACAACCCCACGCGGCGCGATACCACGGTCCTCCCGCCCTTCGGTTGGCTTGTGATCGCTTTTGAGGCCGGCCACAACCCCGGTTCGTGGGTGTTCCACTGCCATATCCCTTGGCACATGAGCCAGGGACTCAGTGTCCAGTTCCTTGAAAGGGCCGATCTGATCAACTCGGTGATGCCGAATTTGATGCCGGAGTTGAGGATGAAGTGTGATGATTGGGGGGATTATGCTAATAAGGACCCGGGATTTAAGATGAGGAAGATTGATTCGGGCATTTGAGTTGAGTGGTGAAGTTGCGGTGGGCTGAGAGGGAGGTGGAGGGTTTTTCTTCTTGTGTATTCTCTTCTTGTTGTTGGGTACTTGGTAGGTTGGATAAGTAATACAAAGATGATTCGAAACTGCAGCACCAGGGTGTGGGCATTAAAAGCGAAACGTAAAGTCGCTGAGGCAGAGCCGAGTAACCACGCGCCGGTCCGGATTCATAGCACGGCAACCTCAGGGACATTTCATTGGCGCCAGGTGGCAAGTGCAATGTTCAGGTAAATGCACGTCTGTGAGATGAGTCGGGGTGCGGTCCTTCCACTGGACTCCAAACTCACGGGCGGTATCCAATTGGGCAGCTACGTAGTTTAAGCCCAACGCATCGATGGACTTTCACTCTTTGTTATTGGCGAGAATGGAAAGCGCCTTCCGTTCATAACCTAGCACTGCCCATGGCTTCGCTGGCTGTCAGCTTTGCCCGAGTCACCATGACAAATGGCTGGGCTAAGACTGCCTTTTCTCGAAAGAAGTCTCCGTTCAATCAATCTCCCAGGATTCACTTCGAGCCCACCACCGCGACGATGGGATGACAAGTGAGTTAACAGCATCAAAAGAGAAATGACAAAGGAAAGACGGCCGTGGATTGGCACTGAGGTCTAGTGCCCGTGAGCTCATCCAGCAAGAAAAAAACACAAAACCCTCCCGACTTTTCGTCACCGAACTTTCGATCAACGTGTCACCTCTTCCTTTCTCTTTCTCCCCAAGTTAATTTCACCTTCCGGATCATAACAAAGAAACCTCACTTCCCCTTCACCAACTCCCTGTCCTCTTCAGCCTAAGCATTCTGAGCCGCAGGCATCGCCTTCAAAACCACACCCTGCTCACAAGGATCTTCTCTCGAAACAATGCACTCCCTCGTCATTTTCGGCACCACCGCATTCGCCCACTCATCGTCCGACTGGTCGACTCTCCAAGTCAACATCACTCTTCCAACGCCTTCATGCCTTTCCAAATTCCAGTTGAACTTCTTCCCATTGGGAATCTCCACGAACCTCGGATCCTCTAGCAACGTCTCCTCAGGCCATCCCAACTCGTCGATCAGCGTGCGCAGCGAAACGATTCCGTAGTAGTGGACCTCTTTACGGCCTGCTTCGTGTCGGTTGGGGATGTACAAGGAGGTGTCTAGGTGCACTTGCATGCTGTGCCATTGGTTCTTGTGGTTGAGGATCTCGACGGATGTAATTACCGGTGGGAGGCGTTCGGCGGTTGGGCGCCTTGAGCGAGTCACCCAAGGGGCGGGGGCTTCGAGCAGCGTCCCGTTGGTTTCGCTTGTCACATCCGGGACAAGATCGTGATCCGATTCTGGATAGAGGGAAGGACTCCGAGATTGAGGAGGCACTTGGCCGTCAATTAGGGGGATGTCGGGGACGTTGTAGGGGAATGAGGATGGAGGATGTGGGGGAGCTTCAGCTGGGCCGGAGTCCGAGTTTGTTTTCGGAACTGGTCCTATCTCTGGCTCTGGCTGTGGCTCTGGGAGTTGTTCCGGGAGAGGATCCTGTGCTGGGGGAGGCTCGATGACGATGCCGGGGTTCGTCGATTCCGCCTCCGGCGCACGCTCCGGATTGGCGTTGAATTGTGGGGCCGGCAGCTCCGGTTCCTTCGGCTGTGGCTGTGTCACAACATGCTGAGGTTCATGGTCTCCGTAGATGGAACTTGTGTCGTCGGAAACGGGAGCCACAACTCGAATCTCCTGCTGGGGAGGTAAAGCTGCTGGCTGTTGCGGGCGAGGAGGCTCTTGTGGTAATGGAGGCAAGTCCCTTTCTGTCTGTCTGGAGCTACCATGCGAGGTATTCCGGCTCGAGGGAATGCGGTTCGAGGCATTGCGGTTTGAGGTACCGCGGGTCGAAGTACCCAGGTTTGAGGCATTGCCGTTCGTTTTGCCCGTGTTTCGATAGCAATGAGGACAGATGGGAGTACCCGCTGGCAAGTTGCTTGGTGGAGGATTCCAGTGGAGGGTATCATCGCTCAGGATCGGCCGTTCTTTCAACTGAGAGAAGTCGAACCTAATACGGGGTTCGCTACGAGGAACTCTGCCTGTCTTAGCCACAGTGTATGCGAGGTAGCAGATCCCTGTGGCCGAGTCACGCTCGCCGTTCATTCCTGTCTGCTCCGCGAAGTCTTCTCGAAGTTGGCCAATAGCTTCGATGTGTTTCCCTATGAGCTGCCTGAGCTCCTCGCTGGAAAGATGGGTTAGCCCCAGAGACATGGGAGACTTGGCTGGTCGAACTAGGTGGCACTCACATCTCATCGAGCCTGGATCTGCCTTGAGAAGCACCTCCGTTCCGAGAGAGCACTTCAAGTTGGATAACGGCGATAATCAGCTGCAAAGTCGACTTCAGCTGTTCCATTCTCGGTAGGAGAAGCGCGAGCTTTGGCTTCCTGGTATTCTTCCATCTGTGGGCGGCATAGAAGCGAAGAGCGTAGTTCGCTTGGTCTCCGAAATTCGATTGCAGTCTCCTGATCTTATCCTTTTGCTCCTTGATATCGTTGTTCAAGTCGATTGCTTCTTGTTCCATGTTGTCCAAAACCTGTCGATCACGCATATACGAGATGACTGCTGAGTTGTCTTGGGGGAGGCGGAATTTGATCGAGTACTGGGCCGTCTCGATCAAATCCCCAAATGCTCGAAAAGGCAAAGCATCAGCTCGCATCTGCTTTCCGATCTTCTTCGCATCTTGGGCGAGTTCAACGATGGCCTCAACGATGCCTTTTGCGGCTATTGCAGTCGTGATGATGGTCGGCACGCTTTCGAGGATGCCCGCCATTGTCAGGAATTTGGGTATCAAAGAACAACCAGGTGTGAAGAAAAGAGATGCGGAAGTATGATAAAAAGTGACCACATCATAAGCATGATAGATAAAGAGCTTTGGCTGGAGTTCTTAAAGTCCGTGATGTCTTCACAATCGTCTATTGAGACTTACCGAACCAGAAGACGAATCCAAAGAGCCTCAAATTTCGTGTTCGCGTCCTTCCAGAGGCTATTGGCACTAGTAAAGAGGGTTGGGTATGTGTTGTCAGTGCATTTGCATGTGCGCTCAAAAAGAATTGGCAATGTGTTCGTCCTTCACTCCACGAGCCCACAGCATCGGCCTGTCAAAGGTGCAGCAGCTGTTGTGCGATCATGCATTCTTCCCATCCAGGATAGCAGTGTTCATGCAACTGTATGTCGCACAGTGGCTTTGATGCAATGTCAGAAATGTTCAGGATGTTTTGCATCGTTGTTGAAAGGAACACTGTGGACGGCAGTGGGCGGCCGTCAATCCTCACGTCCTTATAGGGTGAGACACTGTCAGCTGGTAGGCAGGCCGCTGTAGTCCCGGCCGACGCTATACAACGTCTTTAATGTAGGGTCGCTTGACTGTTATCTTGACGGTTCTCTCGATTGGGTAATGTAAGGGCTTTTTGCCGTGTTGTGTGGCCAGCTTCAGCTGAGCTGGGGCTTTTTATCACCTTTTGCAGGTCTGAAAGGGAATAGCGATAGCCAACTTTGGACGCTGTGTGCTTGTGGTAACATCGAGGGCTTTTGTTTGCTATTTACTAAGCGGACGATCCCCGTTGGAGCCTGTGTCATGGTTTGAGGCTCTGATCCAGGTTAGCTTTGGGCATTGCTCTTTCCTTCAATCTCTTTGAGCCTCAACTGCATATTAACGCTTTGCAGCTCTAGCACGCTTTGATGGGTATTTGCTTGGTCTCGTCATCACCAGACTCTATAAGAGGTAGGGGTTGAGCAAACTCAACCGTAGTCGGACACAGAGGCCTTGGGTACGGCTTCCTATTGCTGAAGTCGGATCTGCTCTTGAACCATGAGCGGCAATTGCCGCCAGTATAAACACTGCAAATGCAAGCAACTCCGGATCTTCACATGCATCAGCGGCTCCCTGGGCACACATGCACTGTGCACGTTGTGCGAGGTTCCACGTTGTCATCCTCCCGCTTTCCCGCTAAGCTGCAGTGATGGATGATCAGTCAACTGCCCGGCACTGGACGACGGGATGCACTGGACGATCCGCTAGTTACCTACTATGACTGGAATTCCATCTATCAGTGGACGTCCCTTCTTGGTCAGCGCGATGCAACTTTGGCTCTGCTTTGATTGACCTCTCCAAGCCCCCAAAGCCTGTGTCCAACCACCACTGGCCAAGTGTAGAGGACGCGAGGGGGCTGTGCAGTAAGCAGTCCCGATCTTATGGAGGTAGGAAGTTCGGCTGTCGGATTAACGGAATGCCGATATGAGGCCCGAACTTCAGAAAGTGAAGGCAGCATTTGCCTCGGTCACTAATACCCCGGCATGTTCAGCTGCCTGCATGGCATTCACCCAATTACCACCTAGAGGGGAACAAGCAAAAACCCCACTTCCTGGGCCTCGACCTATTGTTGCCTGCGCCTTTCTCTTCTCCCCATTACAAACTCACACGTCCTGTATCTTGAGTCACAACTCACAAATGGCGCGCACAAGAAGAACCATACAGCCTCCCCATGTCCTACCGGGACATTCGCTGCGGCAGACCCCTTGGGCGAACCCCCATATTTGGGATGCAGCCGACCTGCCAGCCCAGTGGCCCCCAGAGTCGTCCCCTGTACACGATATCGACCAAGTGTGTACGACGCCATGGGGACTGCAGGGGAGATATCATTGCGAGCATAAGCCTGGCGACCATGAGTACATCTGGCTACCCTCGTTCTTCCGTGACTTAGGGCCCGCCTGGAATCCCGGTCTCCGGATGGAGCGTACCATCCGCGGTCGCTGGGTACGGGATCACATAGTCAGAAAGAACACTGGCAGCATGAGTGCGTACCGGTACGCTTTAGCGTCCTGTCCCGGCCCAACTGCTAGGAATTCTCAGCGCTTGAGATATTCCAACGGTTAGACACGGTTAGCAGCGTTGTAGAACTATTGAAACATATTAACTGTAAAAAGCTTCCTTAGGCCCCCCCTAAGGAGACCCGGCGCGCCGCCTGAGCCGCTATCGCTTCCACAGGACCATGTGATGCAGGCATACCCCCTCGAGCACGAAGATGTCGTATGCACAGCGGATCTGGACATGGCTGATGTGCCGGACGCCACCATCAAGCCGTACCCGGGCGGCAGAGGCATGCTCGACAAACTGCCCGTCGAGTTGCTCAGGATGATCATTGAGTATCTCGTACCGACGGGCTGTACGTACAGCTTCTTCATGGCCGATAGGAGAAACAACTACCCGGAACCTCGATCGTTCTGTTCTGTGGTTCATCAGATGGTGCCTGTCTGGAGGTCAAAGAAGCGCGATGACCAAGACATCAAGGAGCAGGTTGCCGACGGTATGGACCAGATGGCATCAGATTTGGAGAACGACTACGACCCGTACTTCTCGGACAATGAAACTTACGAGGAAATGTCCCAAGAAGATAACAAACTCAGAAAGGAAACCATCCAAAAAGGTTCTGCCCACATGGCCCTCGCAAGCGTTAACCGGACCTTCCAAGACCTCGTCTACACCAGGTTCTACGGCGGAAACACCTTCGTCTTCCACCTATCCACCTATCCCTTCACGCGGATCGACCTCGAAACAGGGGATCTCCAAGACCGCCTCTGGCTCTCCTGGTCCCGCGTTCTCATCCGCAACGTATGGCCTCCTGGTCCTCTTGGTCCTATTACCGCCCGCGCGGCAAGATATTTCGGAGATGCGAAGCTCATCATCGTTGCGCCATCTGAGGACACCAGCGATGCAGAGGCCATGACATACCTCGCGCAGGTGGTCGACTCCGCCATCAGTCTTCTTCTGCCGACGGACCCGATTTCGGAAGAACAAGAGAAGCAACAACAACCAAATATATCCCTTCATCTACAGTTTTCAAGCCCATCCCCCTTTCACGTGAAGAAAAAAATCGTCACGTTGCAAGCGGGAGTCAACCGCGTCACGAGGCCGATGGATATTGGACCTGGCACATGGAGCGGTTTCGGTGGTCAAAGCTTGGAGCAACCGCCGGTTGAGAACAAGCTGGATCTGGTAATCCAACCGCTACGGAAGCTAAGAGGTCTAGTCAAGGACATGTGCGTCTATGGCTATGAAATCTCGCTGGATTTCTTAGACGAAGTCGGGCTGGTTTGTGTGGACAAGGCGAAGAGGACACCTACACCCGCCGAACACTACCACTCTCGTGCAAGTACTAAGACGAACGCCGAGAGCGGCGTGCCCACGCCACAGTATCAACTTGAAGCTATGGGGTGGACGTTCTTTAAAGCCATGGAGAGGTCGAAGAGGAGTGACCGCAGTGGCACCACCCCTTCCCCGACACCCACTACCAAATCTACTGGCACTAACCGCGTCATACGAATCCCTTCCCAATACGGCATAGGGCCGTGGTCGCCCTAGGGCGGTGGTTTCCTGCCTCCCAACTCGCCCCTGTCAGGTACAGACTGTCGGCAAAACTACTGCGTGCAAGATCTAGAGTAATCCTACCCGCACCCACCCCAAAACCTACACGCACCCTCTCCCCCAATACTATACCAAGACCACTCCACGTTTAGCCATTTCTACCCAAAATGCCGTATGCTATTGTCTTCTATAGACTGTCCAATTCCATTCCCGGACTTTTGGCATTCCTAGGGTTAATTTTTGCACTTATACCGAGTACGTTACAGAAATTGGGCGCTGCGAATGCACACAGCTTATTTAAGGACCTCCAAAAGGCCGTTTGATTAAAGGAAAGATAGCTTACGATAAATTTGAGGCCTAATCTTCTACCCTACTAGCTTTCGAAACGTTAGTTGGCGTTGTTGAAAAATAATCGTCAAGTGTCTAGAAGGGGGAGGGTGCGTGTAGGTTTTGGGGTGGGTGCAGGTCGGATTATTCAAGATCTAAGGTGTTGCTAAGACGGTGTCCAAGACTGCCACTTGAACTCCCTATCCTTCGAAGAGGGAAATTACCATTCACAACTTATTTACTCTTCAAGACACTCAGTAATCCTTCCTCCTTTGGATGTGTTGTCGGGAGAGGCTGTGTAAGATTAGTAATCATCAATCACGTCACAAGTTTGCTGGAGTTTTGGTGTATCTCAATGTACTATTATCGGCTGGTTTCCGGAGACATTACAGACGGAAGATGTTGCAACTGTATTCAACTTTGATATAAAACTAGTAGCGAAATATCAAATATGCGTAAAAAAAAAAGCAGCTGATGAGGGAATGAAAGGGGAAAGGTTTGGTAGACCAATCTTGAAATGTCTTGAAGGATTGTAAGAAACTATTGCAAGGACGTTTGAGTCATTAGGTGTATGTAAGAAAAGGGGTGATGCGATAGAGTGTCTCTTGAAGAGAAAAGATAGCAAGAGAGAATGATGGACGATGAGATGAGGAAAGGGCGGAAGATTGGCATGCTCCTGCAGCTCCAGAGGGGAGTAAAAGCTTCAGTTGCCAGTATAATAATACTCGTCGTACTCTTGTAAAGGCTTGAAACCTTTCCGAACAGTGATCTCGGCTGGCGTGAGTCCTCCTTCATGATCGAAGTCATAATATCCATCCATGTCAACCTCGGGCATGATCCATATCCGGCTTCCAAAATTCCCCCATGGCTTTCCATAGCACTTTATCTGAATGGGCACTTCATCGAGGTCCATCATATCCTCGTCAGCTCTTCCAGTTTCTTGCGTATCTACATTGTACGTGGATTGAGGTTCCGGGGGGAAGCCATGTTTGTTGCCAATGACAGTGAATGGACCAAGATGGTCATCGGTTCCATAAAGTGATATAGCACGAAGCGAACCGCCCGAAATCTCAAAATCTCGAATACGCACTCTGGCGTCATAGTTCTTTGTCCTGGTGTCGACGTTGCCACCCTTGATGACAAGGTTTCGGACTTGGATGTAGGCACTTGTTCCTCGTGCTTGTATGCAACAATATCCACCCTCGGCTATTAACGTTTCAATGCAGACTTCAGGACTTTTCCCCAATACGGTCACGTAGAGGAGCCCGCCATTGACAACAAGCTCCGTTATGCGAACTCCAGAGTTGTCCCCGCGAACCTCCAAAGACATTATGCCACCGTTCATGCAGAGCCGATGGATACCTAGCGCCGACCCTTCAAGCCTGACCGAAGCATGGTACGAACCTGACCTAATATTCAACACATCGACCTCGGTCTCGAATATTTCTACCTCGGTTACGTCCACGCCGGCTTTGGCATTAAGCTCCAGCCGTGCCGGTGGTATAGTCAAGAGATACTTAACGATATCAGTTTGACCGTAATAGGCGGCTTCGTAGAGAGCCGTTCTTCCCAGACAATCCCGTGCATTGAGGTCGGCTCCGCCCTCCACCAGTAGTTTGACCACATCTACATGGCCTCCACGTGCTGCGGCAATGAGCGATGTAGTGCCAAGAGCATTCTTATCTGAAATGTTGGATCTGTGTGCGAGTAGCGATCCTACGATGTCATGACTGCCAATTATTGATGCCAATATAAGTGCCGTTTGCCCGCGTGCGTTTCGTGTTGTGACATCTGCATTAGAGGCCAGAAGAACCTTAACTATTGCAAGATTCTGAGACATAGTGGCACAATGAAGTGGTGTCAGTCCAGTGAGGATAGACAAAGGCTCGTATGACAAGATCATCGATCCATCAAAAGGCAATGTCGTTTTGAGGACACCACTTAAGGCATTCACGTCTGCTCCTTGATCAAGTAACAGCTTGACGATGTTCGCATCCCGGCTCCTGGCTGCGCAATGCAGTGGGGTTTCGTCGACTATACGTATTGACGAAAAATTTGCATCGAACCTCTTGTTGCTCTCGGCCACAGCCAGCTTCTCCCCAGAACTTTCGGTTTCGCCCTTTAGATCAAAGAATCCGGTCCAATTCCACAGACTAGGTAGCTCGGCTTCATGACGTAAGCAATGATATGGAATGTTTCTTCCCCGAATGTTAACATCCGCTCCCAGCAACAACAGGCGCTTTACCATGTTGTGCTGTGGCCTCTCCAAGGCATTGGGAAGATGAGTTCCATTGAGGCCTCCTTGTACATCGACTTTTGCGCCATGAATCATTAACAGGTCCACAGCATCATCGTGTCCACAAGTCAATGCCGCTTGAAGTGCGCTCCCAAGCAATCCACCCGTGATATTTGGATCCGCATCCCGATCGAGCAGCATGTGAACAATCTGACCGGACTGATCCCATTTGACGACCGCAGCTTGAAGTGCTGTGCCATACTTGCCACCTTGGGCGTTGACATCAGCCCCACGCGACAACAGTCTGACGACCATCTGTTCATCTCCGACAACTACTGCCGCCTGAAGTGCATTTCCGTAGATCCCCCCCCTGCACGTTGACATTTGCCCCTGCGTCAAGCAGGAAGCCGATGATACTTGGGTGTTTCTGAGCAATAGCTGCTTGTAAGGCGGTGCCGTAAACTCCTCCTGTCAAGTTGATTTGGGCGCCCTTATTCACGAGCACCCTAACAATTTCATACAGTCCTCTAGCTGAAGCTGCTTGAAGAAGGGAGCCGAGAAACCCGCCTTGTACGTTAAGACCAGGGTCGTTGGCTCCCCTGAGGAGGGCCTCAAAAAGTGTCGTCGACTCATGGTCGTGGATGTGGGGGAATCCATGAACCAGGAGAAAGTACGCGAGACTGGTTGTTGATTCCGTTTCAACAATCAAGGGCTCCAATCTAACACTCAGGGCAAGCTCTTCCGACTGCATTTGGTACTTGAAGAGCATGTGGAATGTCTTGAGACGACAAGCCATGTCACTCGATGCACCATCTTCTACCCATAGCTGCCCCAAAAAGCGTTCTTGGTCCACACCCAACTTGTGTGCTTCGGCATGGTAAAAGAGGTTCAAAGTCGCGTATTCCAGGAAGTCATATTGATCCCAAAGCTCCTGCATCACATCATAGTGTCCACGATAGACTAGGGATATTGGGCGTCTCGGAGGTTCCATAGGAACTTCCGCACATTCCAGAAATTTGACGCAGCAGTCCTTAAGCCTGTCATGGGAGGTACCGACTGGATTGCTCAGCAGCGCCGGAGAAAGCTTTCCAAGTCTTCCGTTGCGCAAGAGAAAGTCGCTGACAGACTGGTGAATGAACTGTGCCTGACGCCTGCCGTATGTTTCGTGTATCTCGACGAGCCCTCTTGACCAGTACTTGATGCTCTTATGGATGTGTTCGTCGCTGATCCCGGATCGAAGCAAGTTGCCCAATGAGCCAGGTTCCACTCCGGACATGACGGCAAAATACAGCTCACGAGCTCGTAGCAGGCCGTAATAATCGTAATTACAGAAGAGTACCCACTGCAAATGAGTACCGTCGCGTCGATAGTTTGGTTGTCTTTTCATGAGAATCCGCTCGAAGAGCTCCTCGAGGCCTGTCGGAATATCGTCGAGTATTCTTCGCATTAGCTGAACTTGGCCGCAGCCACATGCCTCGTTCAACAATTCGACCACAAGCACGACCCACATGAAGATACTCGACGACCGTTCCACGACATCGGATCTGATGTCATTGTCATGTGTCTTCAGGTTGTCCCGGACATATCTATCAATATCGTCATCGTGGTCGTCGCAGTCGTCGAGGTCTAACTCTATTTGGACGTGCATGCTGATCTCCGGGTAATGACGACTGGAGAGACCAATCCTAAGCCTGAGCTTCAGCGACGCGCTTCCATGTCGAGCAACACGGCTAAGATCTTCCAGGAATTTGACCATGCCTCGGACTTCTTCTTTGTTGCACTCGTCGAGAGCGTCGACAAGGATCAACAGTGGCTTCGAAAGCTCGCAGGAGGGGAGATGCCGGAGTAAGAAGTCTTTGAGATCATATTCCGTCCATTCGAAACTCCCATTCAATCTGAGTTTCTCTTGGTAGATGCCACAAAAGGGCCGCCAGAGTATCTCGCTGCCGTCCAACTGGAGCAACTGATAAACCAGTGATCGAAGCATGCCCAGAGGTGATTTCTCAAGTGCGCCCCCGCGAGCGTTGAAGAAATGCGCAGCTATCAGGTATTTCCCGCTTTTCTCAAGGTGAAGAAGCATATGCTTCATCAGTGTTGACTTGCCGGCACCTGGTTTCCCTTTGATCCAAAAGACACCGTTGGATTCCTGAAGACCCTGATCACCTTGCCACCGTGTGAACTTCTCGGTATCGAACAGCCAGTCACCAGTTGTAGGGTGAGCATGATCTATGCGCTTTTGGCGGCTAAGGAGGTCGGGGAATCCCAAAGTTGACAAGCAGGCCTCTTTGTCTAATCATGTTGTTATTATGTATCCATTTGCACATCGATCTTTCTCGCGTGCCACACTAACTGTTTTGTGCAAAACTGTTCTTGAACCTTCGGGAAACCTCTGCCACCGATTCTGCCTCAAACTTCTTCAAGTAACGCAGTGCTGTTACATATGGATGGGCGCGTCTATCGCTGAACTTGGCTATGTCCGAGTGATCGGCGTCGACTGTGACCTTTTCCTCCATTGTGTCGGGCAACTGTAGCAGTGCTGAGCCCGTATGGACAGACAACATGAAATCACCGCTCCTTTTGAAGCTCTGAGCAGCTTCGTCCTAGTTAGTGCAAGTGTAATGTTAGTCTCACACGTAATCATAGGTGAGATGTGGAGACAAGAAAGTCTGCATAGACCATGCGCGGCATGAGACGCCTAGTACAGACCCCTGCTCTACCAGAGATGTCGAGCGTGTGTACTTACCCCAATGTAATCTTCTCGTTTGTTGTGTCTCGTAGAAGCTGACGATCTTGTATTTGTGGCAGATGTTCTTAAAATCCGCAATCTGATCCTCCAGGGCCCGGGAGTTGCAACGCAATTGCTCGACAAGGTCCAGTCGCGGATGATTGGGGTCAACCTTGTTGAGCATACTCGCCATGTCTTCGACCCAGGGACCTTTGTGGGGAGTGCCCAAGAAGAAGATACCGTAGGTGGCCTTGACCAGTGCGGTCATATCCGGATCAAATCTATCGCTTTTGAGTTTGGCTTGAATAAGAGCCTGGGAATCATGGTCACTTGGTCAGCTTAACCACAATGTAATGATGGTTTGTCGGTCTTACATGTGCAAGAATGAGGCCACCAAAGCTGTGAGCGACAAAGAAAAGTGGCCTTTGTCGTAGCTGGATTCGGCAGGATGAGCGAGTGGCCATGAAGGGTCAGAGCCTGAGATCTGGAACCTTACTTCTGCTGTGTGTCTGATGCTCTTAATAGACTCTCGGAAATGTCGACTGTAGTCGGCCAGGGTATCAACGCCCCTGCTCAACAACTGAGTTGTAGCCGTATATCATCGACCGACATCGAGGCATATCTTTGGACAAGTAATCACGCAGCCACATGCGGCCAAGGTTTCCACGACTCCTCCAGGAACCATATGCGTTCCCGTCGAGACCAGTGATGGCAATGATGCTAGGCATCGCATAAGCTACTGCTCATGTAAAGGCGTTGAGATATGGAACTTACTCCGCGATAATGGGATGGTCGGTAACCGTGGCGTAAAGTTGTGTAAACCCATGGAAATGCAGATCAAAGGTGATGTCTTCAATATCATTGCCGACTTCCATCTCGATCTGCCATGCTGAGAGTGGATTCCGTATAAGCTCACCCAAGAAGGTCGGCTCGCCTCCGGAAAAATCCACTAAAGCATTGTACGTGTTGTTCGGTATGCATGAAGGAACTATGCAAACCGTTCGCGGCTGGATATGTGCGAGCTCATGGGGTCCGATTTCCTTCTCGATCGCCTTCTTGAGGAGGGCTTGTACTTGGGTAGGGTCTAAGGTGACTGTTGTGCCGGCTTCTGACTTCTTCATCGGAAGACCGGTGACCCGAAACACCTTTCGTCGGCTTGACGCCATGACAACCTAGGCGCTCACTGCTCACGCCGGCGGGTGTACCACTAAGCCTGCTTGGGATGAGTTTGCTCAGCTGCGATGTCCGATATGACGTGCGAAATGGCGATGAAGGTTGAGGTATTGATGGCGTCCCAGTGTTTTATGACGGGAGGCGGGCAAGCGACCAGCTTGTTAAGAGCGGAGGTGTCAACCAAGAGATTTGGAGTGACTATCGCTCACCTGGCATCAACGTCTCACTTGTCTGGGAGCTGAACGACGAGGTTCAGGTTCAGGTAGATGCCCAACTCCACCGCGTAGGCGGTGCCTTACCCAAAAGGGCTTGGCAGGCTGACAACGCCAAGGTAGCCTGCATGAAGTAATGTCGAGCCACCCCCTCCAGAGAGCTCTGCTGGCCAGTCATTCCCATGCGCAGCCATAATAGGAAATTTGAGTCGAGCGGGTGGTGCGGCGTGTGCGAGTAGTTGGCAGAATAAGGATAGTGATTGGTGATTCCGATCCCATATAACAGGGGTGACAGGTGCCTCGATGGTCGTACTCTACCCAGACTCAATGAAGCCTGATCCATTCCCGAGTTCGCCCACGCTCTTCCACTGCTTCATTCCATCGGCTCCTGAGAACGTATCCAACAGCGACCCGGGAGGTTATATGAGGCTCACCGGGGTGTCGGAACAGCCACATGACGAGTACCATGTCTGGGTTCTCATCCACCAGGGCCAGGAACTCCGGAGAGAAGTTGTCTCGTCGACTGTACCTGTTCAGGTACAGGACATTTTGAACGTGTTCAATGGAGAAGTCCAGGTGACCAAAGGAAAGCAACTCTATGCTTGTGGCGATGCCCATGTTGGAGGCAGCTGTCGAGAACCCATCGGAAAAGAAGGACTCCAGCGTCCCAGAGTCGACTCGCATCTCGCCAACAAGCTCAGCGTTGTCCAAGTTGTCCGCTGCTTCAGCCGAAGAGAAGATGGAACAAAAGTGAACGTGACCGGACGCTTGCAAGGTATGGTCGCGTTCTCGGAGCCGAATTGGAAAGCTGCAGATTGTACCTCCGAACGCTAATACAGTCTTCTCGGCTATGGCCAGGTTCTGCCGCCAGCGCTCTTTAGGAGTGACGATGCGCCGACGCAAGACCGGTGGAGGGTTATCCCCAAAATAGTGATGACTAGGCTCCTTTCCTGGTGCTCGGAGCATAAGTCGGGCAACCCTCGCCATCCTTGCGTCTACTTGAAGGTAAGGGATATACCCTGGTGATGTCCGCACGGCATAGGAAGGTCTTCCGAACCGTAAGGCCTTCCACTCATCAATAAACCAGTCCAAAGTAAGTTCTATATTGAGGCCGTCAAGCATCCCGAGAGGGTAAGAAATGGGGCCCGTCCACGAAGCCCAAGACCACGATGGAATACCTTCACAACGTCGCCTGCTTAGGACACCATTTGGTTGCCACATTAGAGCTGCCCCCAGATAGGACAGGGGAAGGCCAGCGACCGCCATCCCTAGGCCGTCAACTATGTACATTGTGTACATTCCCAGTGACGCCTTCAGGATGTCTTTATCTTGCGTAAAGTTTCTTGTGGAAAGCTTTTCGGCCATGGAGATGTAAGTTGCTGAAGCCTTTGGGGCATCGCCTCCGACTTCCATGTCCAAGCCCAAACCTTTGGGGTCTTCATCCCGAAGGTAGCGTTGGTATTGCTCAGGAGGAACGCTTTCATCCAGAGGCAGGTCCTCATTCCAGTTTCCAAGTGCACAGCTGAAGTACGTCCTCTCTGGAGTAAAGAAGATGAACCTGGCAGAGCAAGTCAGTTCCTGAAGAGTCCATCCCCTCGTTGCCCATGTTGATGCTGCTACAACTTCTTTGAACTCGGGTCTGTCAAGACAAAAGCGTAGGTTTCCAACGGTATAGTACTTGCTCGATAGCTGAGTCGGATCTATGTGCAGGATAGAGTGCTGTGCGCTGTCTCCGACGGCTGCAACAATCGTTAGGCTAGCCTGGGCATAGATGATGTGCATTGATCCTATCTGAGTAATTGTATCCTCAGTAGAGTCTTGTTCAATGCACAGGCTGTCAATCCAGATGTATCGATAGCCTAAAAACTTGGTAACATCAATGGCATCCAGGATGGTCTGTGGAAGCTTTATGGCGGGATCTCGGAAGGCATCTTTCTCGCATAGGTTGCTGAGGTTTGGGCTTTGCAGGGTGTAGAACGGATCTCTTCCCCATACATAGCTGAGAGCGACGTATTCGACTTGTTGAAGGTCCACATGGCCGTTAATGCCAGGATTGGTAGGTACCAATCTCATATCGTCGACGTCAATCAGCCTGCTCGGGGCCGTCTGCAAAGCTTCGGTATTTGGTGCCGCTGACTGGTTGCACTTGTCATGGTTCTTGCGGCAGTACTCGAGACAGCGCTTCATCAAGTCCATGTCTCGTGTATCCCGGTCAAGTGGCTTCGGTATCATCAGTGTAGCCTCTGGGTTTTGGGCGTCGGCCATAATCACTCGGTAGTCTTCTGAGTGCAAGAATAACTGAAATTCGTTGTCGTCCACGTCTTCGGAGTCACCCAAGGGGAGCCAGACGGATAAAGCGCCGTAATCACAAACAGCGTCGACAGAAATCTGGAGGATCAGGTCCTCAGGATCGAAGATCTCGAAGTCATCCGATAACGATGAGATTGAGTTGGCCATGGAACTTGTTTTGGAGACGGTGGTGCTGCCCAATGACTTCAAAGCCTCCCTGATCGTGTCAAGGGATATGAGCGTCTCCTCAACCGATGGCATTGACCTCATTGCGTTATAGAGATGCCTCTCTTTGGCTCGCAGAATGAGGCGAAGGATGAGTGAGCAGAGACCGCACTCCTGGTAGTTGGCAAAGACATGGTCAATAGTTGCAAGTCTTATGTTGTCGGTCGAGTCGCGGGTTCCGGGATGGAAGTCTGACTTGTCGGTTGAGTCGAGTATCTCGTCTAGGCGCAGGGATATGGGATGGCAAGCTTGACACAGAGTGTTTCGGACCGAGGCAAATATCTGGCTATCCAAAGCCGCGAGGGTGCGCTTGAAGTCTTCGATGCTGAGTTGGGAGGTGGACATGATGGTTGCTCGTCAGCCGTAGGGGGTTGAGGTTTGCTTCGAAGCTTGACGACTCGAGATAATGACTGGAATATATTTCATGTCAGCATTCTCATCATTTCGAGGGGATCCATGATATAGGTGAGTCGGACGCTAACCTAACTGCTAGCGAGTGCTGACCACTGATGGCAGTGTAACCTCCAGTGCTGTGACTGCGCCGCAATCCGCTTCTTCAGCCACCCAAACGGGATAACGAAGTTCATCATCGTGGCTACCTGTAACAGTGCAGCTGGTGATCGTTTTGGTCGTTGGCCCCCGCCATGTTCCCTCATCTGCGAACTGATGATTTGGGTTCTGCAATGGGTAGTCTTTGCCCTGTTGTGAGGAAGCGGAAAGCCAACAAATCGTGAGTCCGTGAGCGATGGGCAGGGCGAATGCGGGGTAACGACCTGGAGGCAATACACAACGCCAAATACGGAGAATGGGCAATGATGGGGTTTGGGAATGTCAACAGGGTGTCACGGGTGGACAGGAGACTGGAGTTGGCGATTATTGATACGTGAAAAGAAGAAAGGAAAGGAAAGGGACGGAATTCTAAAGAGGCCCAGTCAAAGTTGTGTGCTGCTAACACCAGCGGCAGGCATCATCGGCACGTCCAAGTTGCACAATGGAAGGAACTTTGCAAGGCAACCGCACTCAAATTTCAATGAAAGTTCTTCCATCGCCCCTTCCCACTTGCACGTTAATCACTTCCACCTTCCTTGGTTCAAAGTGATTCGGCTCACGGCAAACCAACATTCAACCCTCCAACCGCAGCCTCAGGCAAATCCCCGCCAAGCCCTGGTGGTGTCTCAAAACTCTCTCCCATGCCGCCTTTCATACCCGTGACCTGCTTCAACGTCGGCCGCCCCTCCTTCACCTCCCTCTCCTCAATCTCAAAGATGCGATAATCGCCATTATTGAACCACCACCCCGTCACTCCCGACCTCAAGAACCCGGAATGACTGACTGCGATAACAGCCTTGCCATCCTCCATCTCCGGCCACACCTTTGCTTCGATCTCCTTCAGCACGTCCTCTCCTCTTTGCATGATTGACTCCTTAGTGTACCAGTACTTCTTGGCCTTCTCTGACTTGCGGCTCTTGTCGGGCCACACTTCATCGACTCGTGAAAAGTCTACCTCTGGGAACTCTTTGGAGAGCTCCTCGATGCAAGATCCGGTGTCGCAGGGCTTGTCGCTGTTCTCTTGCCAACCCGCGTGGGCGATGATAGGGATGTTGTTTTCCTTGGCGTAGTTGCCGAAGAAAAGGAGGGCCGTCTCAATGGTACGGCGCATGGGGGAGACGATCATGAGGCTGACCTGGTATTTATCGGGTACCTCAGTCTTGAAGAAGTGCTTGCGGAGTGAGCGGCATTGTGTGTGGCCGAGTTCCGAGAGAGGGGGATCGGGGATGGAATAATCTTGTAGTAGGAGTTAGCTTCTGAGACCATGAAGACCAAATTGGGGCAAGGGAGACTTATTATCTACGTTGTGGAGGGCCTGAGCGTGGCGGACTAGGATGAGTGTTGGTGGCATCGTGATGCTGTGACTTGGTGATGGCTTCAAGGGCGATTCAGGGGAAGTAAACAAAGGGTCCAGATGAGTGGAGCCAGTGGTTGTTGGATGGTCTTTGACAATTTGTAGCTTGAGAATGACTGGATATTCAAAAGAAAGCAGGATGCACCTGGTTATAAGCAAAGTGATACTCTATGCAGTAAGACACTTGTATGTAGGTACCTACTTGTAGTTACCCTCGTGATGATGAGATGAGGAGTTGTCTCGCTGCGCCACCGAGCGCGTAACCGTTGGCGATCACCTCACTGTGGCAGCTCGTTGGTAAGGCGAGACCCACTGTCAAACAGGGCGAGATCCGCTGAAACAGCTGCCCCGCGATGAACCTAAGCAACTGGAGGAGTGGAGCCAACTGCCTTCTTTGATTCAACCAATCAGACAAGCCAAAGAACACTGACCGCGTTGCCGGCGCGACACAGCAACCGCATCTCCAACTGCATCATCATCACCGTGTTGGTTGTTCGACTGTTCAACACAAACACCAAACAATTGGCCATCAAGATGAATGTTGATGAGCTGTTTCAAGTACGTAATATCTTTCGATTCCTTCATCAGTAGCAAATACTAACTTTGATTGCCTCCAGAAAGCGGGAGTTCCCAGCAAACGCAAGCTGGACCCCATTCGCGATCCGAACGAAATCTACAAGTCCGCCAAACTATCTTCCAATGGCAGCCGACACGCGCAGGTAGAAGACGAAGACGACGCAGAGGCCGGTCCAGCACCGCCTCCCGAAGATGGAGAAGATGACGGCGACTACGGCCCCTCAGCACCACTTATCGAGGATGACGGCGACGATGAAGAAGGCCGCTTCTTCGGCGGCGGCATAACCGCCCAGGAGAAAGAGATTCTCGACTTCATGGACAGCAATACCGCCGCCCCAGCCGATGACCTCTTGACAACAGACAAGATCGACCTCTCCTGGCTCAAGAAAACCGCACTCAACTTCGAGAAGCGCATCACGCGCAACGCCGAGCTCCGCGCCCGCCACGAAGACGATCCCTCGAAATTTATCGACTCGGAAGCCGATCTCGACGCCTCCGTCAAGGCTCTCTCCATCCTCTCCGAGCACCCAGATCTCTATGCGGACTTCGCCCGTCTTGGCTGCGTCTCCAGCCTTGTCTCTCTGCTCGCCCACGAAAACACCGACATTGCCATTGATGCCGTTGAGATCATCAACGAGCTAACGGACGAAGACGTCGCCGCCTCCGACGAGCAATTCTCCTCTCTAACCGACTCCCTCCTCGAAGCCGATCTTTTGGGTCTCCTCGTCAGCAACTTCTCCCGCCTAGACGAACAACACGAAGCCGATCGAACGGGCGTCTACCATGCCCTCTCCATAATCGAAAACCTTTGCTCTCGCCGCGAGACAGCAGACCAAATCGGCAAACACACGGAGCTCCTAGAATGGCTTCTCTCCCGCGCTAAGAAGTCTGAGGCCCCGACCGTTTCACAAAACAAGCAATACGCCGCCGAAATCCTCGCCATTCTCGTACAGTCCTCCCCAGCCAACCGCCGCCGTTTAGCCTCCGACGAGCTCAACGCCGTCGACACCCTCCTCACGCTCATCGCCCCCTACCGCCGGCGCGACCCCGAGCGCGGCTCCTTCGAAGAAGAATACATGGAGAACCTCTTCGAGTGCCTAACCTGCCTAGTTGACGAACAACTCGGCAAAACCAAGTTCGTCGAAGCCGAAGGCGTGGAACTCTGCCTGCTCATCCTCTCCTCTTCCGACGTCAAGGGCAAGCTCTCCAAGCCCGCCTGCTTACGACTGCTCGACCATGCCGCATCCTTCTCCGGGGAAGTCTGTCTCAAGATTGTCGAAGCTGGGGGTCTCAAAACACTATTCACACTGTTCATGTCCGGGGACAAGGAAAAGGATAAGAAAAAGGGCAAGGCAACAAGGATATCGAAACAAGATACCGAACACCTTTTGGGTATTTTGGCTTCCATGCTCCGCCACCTGCCCGCTTCTTCACCTACCACCACGGACGAGACAACAGGGGCAGAGCGTATCCGCCTCCTAGCGAAGTTTGTAGAAAAGGACTACGCCAAAACCAGCAAACTAATCCGTCTCCGCCGAGAATACGCCGCTCGCGTCAACCAAGTAGACGAAGCCATCAAAGCCGAGGCAGCTTCCAACCCAGAGGACTTTGACGAAGACGAGGCCTTCTCTAGAAGACTAGACGCAGGGTTGTTCTGTCTGCAGACGATCGACGTGATATTGGCATGGTTGATTGCTGAGGATGATGGGTGCAGGGCAAAGATCAGGGAATTGTTGAAGGATCGGGATGAGGACTTTGGGGTGCTGGCGAAGACGCTGAGGGAGCAGAGGGACGGTGTGGATGGGGAGACGGAGGAGGGGAGGGATACGGGGGAGATGTTGAAGGCTTTGTTGGAGTTTTTGGAGTAGTACTTGACGGAGAAGGGTGTTGAATAGGTTGTTTCAAAAGCGGATAAGTAATGACCAAGTAGCCATAAAGATACCATTGAGCCAAGGCTAGGCTCTTTTCTACCAAGTTGCACTGTCTCCGGCTTCGCAGACCTCGTTTCTTTTTGGAAGCTGTGAATCATGGCGTTTCCCTTTGCCCACTTTTCATAAGGCATAGCCTGGTCTAATCCGAACCCTTCAACGCAGGCCACGTAATAATCACCATAGAAGAAAAATAGGATAGTGATACCAGGCACAAATTGAACTTAACGAGCTCCGTCTACCAACCTAACATGCATTCATGACAAAAACGCCCACCCGCCCGCCAAAAGCCGCGGCCCCTCGCCGTTCAGCGGGCTAGCCCAGCCTACTCCAACATCAACATCATCCTCCGATCACCACCATCGACCCATTTCTTTCGTCCAATCGGCAATGTCTTAGTGGGCAGCCATAGCCTCAGGAACAGGGGTAAACACAGCATGCAACAAATCCTTGATCACCTGTTCGCGGTTCTTGTTGCCGGCCTCCTTGATCTCGCGGATGCGCGCCTCGGCTTCGCGGTCGGCTTCGTCTTGGGCGGCTTTGTTTCCTTGTGTGTGCTATGCGTACAATTGTCCCGTTAGCAAGCTGTTGTCTGAAAGTTGAGAGGGGAGTAACAGGAGGTAGGGGAAAGGGAAGGGGAATGGAAGGGAAAGGGAATGAGAGGAGGGAGGGGGGCATAAAAGCACCATACCTCAGCCTCAAACTTCTTGAACTCGGCCTCCTTCTGCGCCTTGTACGCTTCTATCTCCTTCTTGGCTTCGTCGCGCGCTTCGCGGACGCGCTTTGTGCGGTCTGTTTTGATTGCCCATGTTAGCCTTCTGACTCTATCCTGGCTAACCATCCTCCCATTGTCTGCTTGGCGTCACTTTGGTTCCAGCTAGGCCAAGGTTGTAGTTGGGGTTGCGCAGTGCCTCCATCCGACAGTTGGTAGGGGCTCGTTGGTACCGAACATGGGTGTGTATCGTCGAAGAATCAGGGAATCGCAGGGTGTTCGCGGTGGTTGGGATAAGGTACGTACACTCTCTGGCTATACTCAATGTTAGCTATCATTCGGGTATCCTGGTTGCCCATATCACCGTCGATAGGCGCAATAGCATGCATGGATAGAGGAGGGGAGGGGGAGACATACCCTTCTGGACAATCTTGGCCGCATCCCTCTCAGCCTGTGTTGTTATCCTAGGTCAGCCCTCCGTCCCAGAGATATTTGTCGCATCATCGGTCCGTCTGCATTTCATGACCATCGGCCAACTGGTGTCCATCCTCGAGCTATGGAGCTACCTAGGTCGTCCGTCGCAGTCCATCCATCGGGCGGGGGAAATCGCAACGTACATCGAGAAGGAGCTGAATACCCGCCGAGTTCTGGGCCGACTGTTTCCACCACCGCATTAGTTTACGTTCTTCCCTCGTATTGTAGGCGACATGTGTGCGCCTGCTAGACGTCCATGACGACTGGGAACGAACCATGGTGATAGCTGTCTGTGGAAAGGTAGAGGTAGAGCTGTCTAGGTTGGTAATCGAAGCTAGAGGTAGCGGTGCTATCGCCTCGTCGAGTTCGGGTTGGCGCAGTCGTATCTAGGGTATCAGTAATTGCTGGAGGAGAACGGAATCGTATCGGTCGTCAGGTCGTCTAGTGTCAGTCGTCGATGTGGTCAATGTCGAGGATGCGATGCGATGTGCGATGCGATGGTCGAGGTCCAAGTGGTTGGCGTTGGCGTCGTCGTACACGGCAGACCTCCCCGCTAGGCACAGCGCTACAGTGGCCGCCCGCAGCCGCTGTAGTGTAGCGGGACGCTTTGGTAGGGGCATCATGCGTGACTGCTTGAGCCGCTCTGATGTCACCTTTGCCTGCCGCCGTCTGACGCAGGAAGCTGTCTGTGACAGCTCCAATCCTCCGCCAAATCTGAGCGGTAAACACCGGCAGAATAGTTGCCCGGTCCGTCATCCCGTCGACGGCCGTTCCTCGTCCGATCTCCCAGCTTCCGAACTCAATTGCGATAGATTTGCTCGATACTCGTACATTGGCGTTGACTTTCCTTTCGTTTGGTTTCTACGCATGATACCCCAATAGCGAACCCTACCATCCCCGACAGCAGCCGCCACCGTAACCATGTCCCGCGCCTCCAAGCTCACCCTCCTCGGCACCTCCGCCTTTGCGCTCAGCACCGTCGTGTTTGTGCATTGGCAACAGCAATCTGAGAAGGAGGTATGTCTTCCTTTCCCCATCCTCTTTCTCCCCTCCCCCAACCCATCCTACCACCCCATCCCAGTCCCAGAACCCAGCTAACATACACGGCTGTTCAAGGCAATGCACGCCGGCGTAATCCGCGACATGGAACAACAACGGATCAAGCGCGAGCGTCAGCTCGACTTCGACATGCAGCGCGAGCTCGAGGCCGAATACAAGAAGCTACAGAGTGTGCGCGATGTCACAGACGAGATGGACCCGGTACCCTCGAAACCCAGTGCCCTGACGCAAGGGCTACCGAAGCCGAGTGCGGTGCCTAGTATACCTGTTGGAGGGGCGATTGGGACGGGGACGGGGGAGAAATGAGATGCCCCGTAGGGTAGATGGGAGCTAAAAAGAGAGAAGGAAGAACGAGGAGGGAGCTACGACGACAGCCCGGTCACAGACTACAAGCTAAGGAGGGGACTGGTTCCGACCCAGCGGACCCAAAAGTGAGGACAGTACTTAAGGTACAGCTGGGCTGGAGAGTCGAGAAGGCGAGCAGAAACGCCGCTTTCTTTTCTAGCGAGCGAGCGGTGCCCTTTCCGAAGACCAAGAGGTACGCTTGTCAGCGTACGGATGGCCAGATGTTGCGGCTCTCCCTCCTCGCTTTGTCTGGTAGACCGACGTGCTCAATCCTTCGGTCTTGTCTACGGGGATGAGCTCGGCGGCTTCCTTCAGGTCGGAAGTCTGCGGCTCTGAACCTTGAGGGGCAGCAGTCATGAACTGTATAACACTTGTATCATTACATCTCTGCTCTAGAAGCAGACAGGCATCTTGTACTTATTATTGTATTGCACATTCATTTCGAGGTTGTTCCTTAAAGGTATCTTGATTTGTATGTGTCTCCTATGTATGTTTGTAAACACACCATGATAGTGATAATCTTCATATATGTATAGTAAGTAACTTTGCGTATGAAAACTAAACCACTCCCCCTCCCCTCGCAAATGCGCAAAGACAACCTGAAAACTTTGCGAAAACTTGCAAATTGCAATTTTCAATCATTCAACGCCATAACGACCCTTTCTATGCAACTTTTTGTGTCTTTCTCTTTCTCGTCTTTCATCTTTCTTCCTCTTTTGGATCCCAAAGCACGTCAACGAGCACCAGCATGTAAAGAAAGAACCACTTCTTTTTGCCAGTGCCTATAAATGCCATGCCATGTACAAGGACCATGATAAGAAAAACCATGATATTATAACCGAGCCTTTCCGCACCAACCCCCCGGGAACCCACAACTACCCTTAACGAACCGTGATGCCGGACCTGCTGGTGAACATGCGCGAGGCAATGTTCATCGACATGAGCTCCTGGAACAGAAGCTTGGCCGCGTAGGGCATGTGGACCTGGGCGATCTTGGTCTTATTCTTGCAAGGACGGCATTCGAAGGACTGCTTGGTGAGGTTTCTGCATCGCGTCATGTTAGCAACCTGCTGATCGGGATAGGGACGACGGAAAAACTTACGCAATAGGAGTCATGAGACCGCAAATCTCGCAAATATGCACTCTGAAAGCATCCGAAACCTCAAACAACCTCTCCTTCAGGAATGCAGCGGCACCGTGAGCAATCATGCAGTCACGTTCCATTTCACCGAAACGGAGACCACCATCTCTGGCACGACCTTCGACGGGCTGACGAGTCATGATTTGCACCGGACCACGAGCACGAGCGTGGATCTTGTCGTCCACCATGTGCCTCAAACGCTGGTAGTAGGTAGGACCGAAGAACACCTGGGCGCGAAGCTTCTTGCCGGTATGGCCGTGGTACATGATCTCGAAGCCACGAGACTGGTAGCCGTGCTCGCGGAGAAGGTTGGAGACGGAGTCGACGGTGACGTCTGTAAAGGGGGTGGCATCACCCTCCATGCCCTTGAGCGCACCGACCTTGGACAGCAGACACTCGATCAAATGGGCGATTGTCATACGAGAGGGAATGGCGTGGGGGTTGATGATAATATCAGGCGTGATACCCTCGGCGGTAAACGGCATGTCCTCTTGACGGTAAGTGACACCAATGGTACCCTTTTGACCGTGACGAGACGCGAACTTGTCACCAATTTGGGGAATTTTTGTGGTACGGACCCTGACCTTGACGTAGCGCAGACCGTCTTGGTTGGTCGTGAAGGCAACGGAATCGACAATACCGCTCTCCGTGCTGCGCAGCGGCGTGGACGCGTCACGCTTGACGTGCTGAGCCGTGCGCTGGCCAAGCTCTTGGTTATCTGGGTTGATGGGAGATGTCTTGCCGATGATGATATCGTCACCGGTGACTCTGATGCCAGGAGCGATGATACCATCATTTTCGAGCTTGTCGTACGTACCGTGCTTGGGCCGCAGAGTGTTGCTCCTGTCTGGCTTCTCGAACTGCTCCACAATGTTGATACCAACACGCTTCTCGCAATCCGTGTAGGAACGGAAGAAAAGACTGCGGAAGATGCCACGATCGATACTGCTTTGGTTCATAATGACGGAATCTTCCTGGTTGTAACCGGAGTAACAGGCAATGGCGACGATGGCGTTCTGACCGGCAGGGAGCTCACGGAACTTGAGGTATTCCATGGAGCGAGTGGTCGCCAATGGTTTTTGAGGGTAGTAAAGAATGTTGGCCATGGTATCCATACGACGGGAGTAGTTGGTGAGGAAGAAGCCCATGGCTTGCTTACCCATGGCAGATTGGTAAGTGTTTCTGGGCGACTGGTTGTGATCTGGGAAGGGAATGATACTGGCGCAAATACCGAGAAGCATACTGGGGTGGATCTCGCAGTGCGTGTACATGTGTGTCGTCGGGTTGAATTTCGTCTTGATACGGCTATTGCCACGGTTGGCAGCGTCGTCCTCAAACTCGCGACCCTTGAACTTGTGCTGACGGTAGGTGTCCAGATCTTCTGGTGTCATGCAGATCATGGCCGTCTCTTCCTCCTCGGCGTCGAGGTATTCGATAGAACCTGACTCGAGTAGGCCTTGCCAGCCGAAGTAATCCTCATGGTATTTGCCAAGCTCCTTATCCTGCTCAAGGCGCCTGATATGCTCCTTGGTAAGGATGAGCTGACCCTTTTCGACACCAGAGTCGCTGTTGTCTTCTTGCTCGACAACGAACAACGGCCTCATAACTCTACCGGCATCGGAGAAAATCTTGAACTCTCTGTCACGAATGTCGCGAACCAGCGACACCTCGAAAGAAATGATGTTCTTGCGTCTGAGGTTCTGGACAAGAGTGACGAGATGCTTGGGATCTTGGTGGACACCAACCCAAGTACCGTTGACGAAGACCTTGGTGGCATTGGGATACCGCAAAGGCTCGTACTCCTCCAACACTTCCATGTTTCGGGCAATCATGAACTCGATGATGGGATCGGCCAGCGTACCCACGGAGACGAAGCACATCAGAGACAAGTTCTTGACCAGACCGCAAGCCTGGCCTTCTGGCGTTTCTGCGGGGCAGACCAAACCCCAATGTGTGTTGTGCAGCTGACGAGGCTTGGCAAGCTTGCCGTCACGGCCAATGGGCGTGTTTGTACGACGCAAATGCGACAGAGTCGAGGCGAATGTGTATCTGTTCAAGACCTGGGATACACCAGCAGTCGAGCTCATGGCCTTCTTCTGGTCACCCCAGTTACCAGTGGCAAGCGAGTACTTGAGACCATTGGTAAGAGTGGAGGCCTTGATACCCAGGGCCAGGGAAAAGTGCTTGTTGGTATCAACACAGCGCTTCATGTAGCCCATGAGGTCCTGAGTCAGGCGTCTCACGATGCCGCGGAAAAGCTTGGCCAGCAGAGGACCAGCCAAGTCAAGGCGCTTCTTACCGAAGTGATCACGATCATCGGTATCTCTGCGACCAAGGACACACTGGAGCAACTTGTGGACCATGTAGCCAAGGAAGAAGGCCTTCCTGGTCTCGCAACCTTCAGCCTGAGAAATATGGGGTAGCAGTTCCTTCTGGAGCATCTCCTTAGCAGCCTTGATACGGCTGTTGCGGTTCACTCCCGTGTGACCGTTACCACGCTTGCCGATGTAATCCAGAGCGACCTCACGGTCCTGGATGCAGAAGGCCTCCTCAATGCAGGGACGAAGGGCTTCCAACATTTGACTGTCGCGGCGGTCGTAGCAGATGTGGTTGAGAATATCTTCGTCGGAAACGACGCCCAAAGCACGGAACACAATGGCGAGAGAGACCTCCTCCTTGACGTAGGGCAGGGTGACGCTCACAGTGTTGGCCAAACGACCCTTGTTCTGGTCAGCCTTGGTGTGCAGCCTCATCTGGAGGGAGGAGATGAGACGGGAACCCTTCTCAAGGGCACTGCGAATCTCGGCCTGGTACGAGACGCTGCCACCAGGAGGCTTCTTGAAAACCTGGACGATGTTGGCGGCAGAGCGCTCTTGGGCAATCAAGACCTTCTCACTACCGTTGATGATAAAGTAGCCACCCTGGTCGTAAGGGCACTCGTTGAGGGTGAACAAGGACTCGTCGTCCTCCATGTAAAGGTGGCAAATCTTGGACTTGACCATGATGGGGATCTTGCCAAGGAAGAGGTATCCCTTGAGGTTCTCCGGGTTGATCTTGTCGTCCTTGGGCGGCTCTGGTGGCGCACTCTCCTCCTCAATCCAGCGCAGGACGGTCGGGTGCTCGCCGGTGCGGGCCATGTGGTCGTGCTCGTCATCGGTGAGCTGGTTAAGGGGCTTCTTTTCGCTGACGGCGATACGGGCGCGCTTGGTGACCTTGCAGTAGATGGGAGCCGAGTAGGTCAGGTTGCGGTCACGGCATTCGTACGGGAGAAGACTGATAGTCTCGCCCGTGGCTTCGGTGAGGGTCGGCCTGGAAATGATGATCTCTCCGAAATGAACGTCGTATCTGCGCAGAATGACCTCTCTGCCCTCGTCGTCGCCTGGGCTTGGGTGGTCCAAGGTAAGATCGGCATACTCGTCTATTAGAGATTGCACTGTGTCTGTTGTGAACTCGTTGAAAGAATCGATCTGCTGGGACACGAGGCCCTTGAGGTCGAAGTAGGAAGAGATGACTTCCCACGAATCCTCGGGCGTGATGGCGTTAGGGTCGGAACCGTCGTCCTCGTCGTCAAAAGTGGAGAGGTTCTCGTAATTGTCATCATTGTCGTATGTGTCCCCATAGCCGCCATAGCTCTGGCTGCCGTCCTTTGCGTAGGCGGCCATCTTGCAAGTCAGCAAGGCGAGCGGTGCAGGTGGTTTGGCGGACGGGCTAGGAGTTGGTGGCCGAGCGGGCGGAGGGCTGGCTGATCAAGTAATCGATAAATCGTGGATGGATGGTGAATGGCGGACCGTGAACGGTGGCGGTCGGTGGCGGGGTATGTGAATGAAATATCCGACCGGGAATCGGCAGGCACTAGACTAGGCGGTAACGCGACGACAGCGTCTGGTCTGGCTGCTGTTGGGGTATCCGGAGTCGATTAAAGAGAAGACGACGGTCGGTAACGAATCGAAGAGGTCGAAAGGAAGCAAAATGGGTATCGCGGCTCGGGTTGGCCGGCGATGATGGTAGATGGTCGAGGATCAGTCGCGCATCTACAGCTCGTCACTTTCGGATTTTCCTTGTCAATGTCGGAACGCGACTCTCATGGAAAGAGATGCAGATTAACGGATCGAGTCAATCGATGACTTGGTCGAGAACGGATGCAGCGCAACGAAAAACGTCGACGGCGGCTGCTGGGAGTGGCGGGGTGGGAGGACAACGCGCGTGGAGGTCGCGATGTTGGTTGAGGAGGTGGTGATGGTGGTTGGGGAAAGTGGTCGAACGCCAGCGAGGGACGGAGTGCCACTCCAAAATCCCAGACAGACAATGCTGCTGGTAAGCGCAGACTGAACAAAGTCCAAGCTCCAGGCGGCGAAGCCAGAAGTGGATCTTGAAATGGCTGCTTCAGCAAGATGATTGGTTGGATTGCCTTTACTAATGCACCACAACGTCCATTCACCGTCCCCGCAAATCCGGCCGGCAACGAGGGAGGTCAAAGGTACGGGAAAATGCCAGCCGGCAACAGCACAGCAATTGCCTGACGGGAATTACTCGAGGGTGTGGGTGCCTTCTGTCTGGGCGCCAAGGCTCTTCCACTTCCACCCTCATACATTGGACGTTTTCAAGCATATTCGACACCTCTCTTCTACGCTCGTGTCGGCCACTTTGACTCTTGTGTTGCTCAGCCATGCTTTTAATTTTCTTCTCCATTTTTAGCCCTAGGTATTTCTGGTCTTTTCGCCGGCCTCTTGAAGGTTGGAATGTCTTGTTTGATGTACCGAGCTAACAGACATCCGTGGACCGTGCGTTCAGGTTGTCAACCTCAAGAGAGGAATACAATTCTTCGAACGCCATCCCAACAACTCATCAGATGAAATGAAAGTACTTGCTATGTCTTGGATCAAAACCTCCAGAACTGAACCTACCCTCCGTTGCTGCCAATCTCCTCAATGACAATACCAACGAACACCATAATAACGGCGGCATATGCGAGCGTCGTCGCGAACACGTTGTCCACCGATTCCAAGTACAGCGACACCAAAAGGCCGAATGCACTGATGCTTCCTTTCATCGCCAGTTCTTTCCAAAATCTGATTACAAAGCAGCTACGGAGAGGCTGAAACTGCAAGAACCAATTTGATCCCAAGGCCGGCTACTAACAAGAGCGGTTCCCTCTTGCAGCGAGGTGGACAGGCAAGTGCTCCCACACCTAACCACCAGGTTGATAATATCATCAACACTCGGACTCAATATCCCGAGCGGGCGGCCGCAATCTTCCTCAACTGGGATCCCCTAGGGCTCTGATGCTTTGAACTGGGCTGGCTCCTTGCGCCCGTTCCATTTATTTTGCTTTTCCCAATTCACAACAATCCATCATCCAACGAGTCGTCCTTCATACGTCATGGGAACTACAGTCCAATACTGGTTGGTTTGTTAGCTCGAGACCTCGGGTCAGCTTCCCTAGGCGTTTTTTAATAAGTTCATGCGCTTTGTTCTATGACTGACGCCTGGTCTGTTTTGAATATGCCAATTCCGATACTAAATATGTCATGTTAAATTCTTGTTGATGCATTTCCGATCCGCACCTAATCATTTCAATACGTCCTTATAAGGTTTGGGACAGCTAGGGATAGATCTCGTCCAAATACCAGGAGTACCAAGCTAACAAACAAACCAGCATTAGATTGTATGCATCGCCACTCCAAGACTCCCGATTCGCGGCCGCAGATCCATGGCCTCATGGGGTAACTTCTCCGCTAGAAACATCGTCAAGGAACCCGTTCCGCAGTTCCGTTCAGATGGAGCACCGACACTCGGCTAGGGTAGCATCGCCGTCGTCTTGGAGGGTTCACGTCCCGGGGCATCAACCACTCACCATCATGGATCGCACCAGGAAACTCAGAGTTTGTTCTTCGGGGGCCAGATTTGCCGCTCGCTACCGGCCACGATACTCAGGATCTGCTGTACCCCAGACATCCATAATCACAAACTCGGATTACCGGTACCCAGCGCAACCATCTTATGTCTGTACCTGCGCTCCGTTGCCTGTTCCTTGCATCGCCATATCCAACCTGCCGTGTTGGGGATACGATTGTCATGATTTCGGGCACAAGAAACCGCCAATGTTCGAGCCACCCGGCTGCCCACATATCCAGGATTTACGCCCGGTTTTGGAGAGGTGCCGGGTAATTAGAACCGAGTCCATGAATGGGTTTACTAGTATAAGAAGGCTGCTGGGACCCTTTGCCTTCCACCCAAATTCCGGGATCAGGCTCTTACACCTCAGACAAGATACAACATGCGCTCCTCCACTATTCTGCAAACCGGCCTGGTGGCCGCTCTTCCTTTCGCCGTCCAGGCCGCCTCCGGATCCGGCAAGTCCACCAGATACTGGGACTGCTGCAAACCATCTTGCTCCTGGTCCGGCAAGGCTTCCGTCAACCGACCCGTCCTCGCTTGCGACGCAAACAACAACCCTCTGAGCGACGCCAACGTTAAGTCGGGATGTGATGGCGGTTCTGCATACACATGCGCCAACAACTCTCCCTGGGCAGTGAACGACCAGCTGGCCTACGGCTTTGCGGCCACGAAACTCAGCGGAGGAACCGAGTCATCTTGGTGCTGCGCCTGTTACGCGTGAGTTCTCTTTCCAAGACGGGGTATTCCTCCATCACTGACCATTGTCTACTCCAGACTCACCTTCACTTCGGGCCCTGTTGCTGGCAAGACCTTGGTCGTCCAGTCTACTAGTACCGGTGGTGATCTCGGCTCCAACCACTTCGATCTCAACATGCCCGGCGGCGGCGTCGGCCTGTTTGACGGATGCACACGGCAGTTCGGCGGTCTCCCCGGTGCCCAGTACGGCGGCATCAGCTCCCGCAGCCAGTGCGACTCCTTCCCGGCTGCTCTCAAGCCCGGCTGCCAGTGGCGCTTCGACTGGTTCCAGAATGCCGACAACCCGGAGTTCACCTTCAAGCAGGTCCAGTGCCCGTCCGAGCTCACCTCCCGCACCGGCTGCAAGCGAAACGACGACGGAAACTTCCCCGTCTTCACTCCTCCCTCGGGTGGGGGCAGCAACCCGTCAACTCCGACATCTCCCCCTTCTTCGGGCGGTGGTTCCGGATGTACCGCGGATAAGTACGCTCAGTGTGGCGGTTCGGGGTGGTCTGGATGCACCAATTGCCCGTCGGGATCGACCTGCAAGGCCATTAACGATTACTATCACCAGTGTGTCTGAGTAGTGCCAAGTGGTATGCTGGGTGACAGTGCCCTCGAGGCGAGAGTTGGGACAGTCCAAGAGGAATCGGTAGACAGCACGACCTTTGAGTACAATTTTGACAATGCCATGGGCATTGTTTCCTCACACATACTTTTCTAGTTTCATCATGATTATTGCATCACACTCTGCCCGCATCTAGATCAAATCGTAGGCTCTGGACGTAGGCCGGCTTACTTGGTCATCGAGGACACTGGTGAATGCTGTTGACGGCTCCTTACTTGCGTGCCATTGACCAGTCATGCATTGCCAAAGGAGGGCAGTTTTGCCGTCATACTTTGTAACCCGAGTATCGACCGACCTTCAACTTCCCTCGTACAAGTACAACCCGAGTCCACTACCTCTGTCACCTCTGTGTCGGAGGAAGGAGCATTTTGCACCTTGCCATGGTGTGACTTCCTTGGTGGCGGTCAGCCGTCACGTCTGCATAAAGGAACACGGACCATCAACCACAAAGCATCGCTCCTTCCGCGACTTTTCGACTCCATGCATGATAGCGGAACCGACAGGGCAAGTGCTCAAAGCAAGATCGAGTTCAATGAAGGCATCGTGGTAGTCTTTGGGAAGGTGCTTTCGTACGGTGGGGTGATTGGGGTACAAGACAGGCGCGACCTGACGGGACCTGGAAATGGGAAACAGGTGGGGGCTTTATCTCAACGTTCAGACCTTCCAACTTTCTTTTTTTGGGTTTGGGCAGGGGAAGCGACCTGCGGCCGCCAAGAAGGGGGCCTGCGGCCCGTACGCTACGCGTACATCTGGCCCGTGCGCTACGCGCCCGGAGTTCTCAAACTGAATCTTTCCAATGTTTCTAATCTTTTAAGTGTATTTGCTGGTATTAACTAAGAATGCCCAAAAAAAAGGTCTGAATTCTCAATATAAAAAAGGGCGTTCCTACATACGTATCCTTATATAAATCGATACTAACTATTTTCTTTACTATATAATAGTAGTATTATAATAAAATATATAAACGAAAGTAAATACACTCGGAAATAGAGCATTCTAAATAGATTATTATAGTATAATTCTTTTTATATTAATATATATAAAAATATATATATTAAAGGCTTAACTTCGAAAATTATTAATATAATTATTTTAAATTAATAATTACCCCCTATATATTATTACTATTTTTTATCTTAATTTCGTAAAATTTTATATATATAATTTGTAAAACCGTCTTATCTTCCCTATACCTTTTATTTTAGGTTACGTCGTATTAAAAATATTCTTTAATTTTATAATTATTAAAATACTATAGATTCCGACGACGATAGTATCAATCCATAATATATACTATATATAATATATAATATTATAGGGGGTAAAGAATTTTATAAAGGTTAATTTAAAATAATTGTCCGGTTTATTTATAAGTAGAAAAACATAGTATTAATAGCGGTAATTAATTATAGTAAAAGTATCGTACTATACGCTTTTTCAACTCTTTTTAATAAAATTATAATATAAATCGTACCCTTAACAAAATTAAGCGAAGTTTAGCGAAACAATATTATTACTAAAGTCCCTGAATTAAAGCCGGTTTAAATTAATGTAAAAACGCTATATTAAGTAGAAAAAAGTCCTATTTTTTTTAGTCAATTTAATTACTAATAATAAAATAAAATAGGGATATATAATAAAAGATCGAGGATAATAAATATATTTATATATTATTGCGCCCAGAGTAGGTAATAAATTCTAAGTTTAAAGCTATCTTTTAATCCCTTAGATTTTACGAAATTATTAGCCTTTTTACAATAAATAAACTATATTATATATTAAGATAGCGAAATTACTATAAGGAATTTAAATATTTATGTACTTTACGACCTCTATTACCTTGAAATATCCCGTAGTTCGGCTATATAGTTACGTTTGCTAACGTTTATTAAAATTTTATTCTTTAGAACATTAAGTTCAATTCCTAAGTAGAAATTATTTATACTTTTATAAATTGCCCGGAAATCTCTATTATTATATAATTATAATTCTATAATTATATTAGGAATTTCTAGCGTTTCTCATTCTTAATTAACGGGTTTACCTACGAAATTAAATATTAAATTTTGAAAATTATTATTTATATCAATAATAAAAATACACTTCTAATAGTATATAATACCCTTATTAATTATTTCTATAAACATAGTAATTTTAATAAGGAAATAAATTATAAAGTTATTAAATTATATAATAATTTAATACGTCCCGTAAATAAAAATATTATATATAATGATTTTGCATCGGAAAATATAAAGTATAGGATTATTTATGCCACGGTTTTTTTTAAATATAGGAATAAGTATATTAGATATTAAAAGGGTTATTTAATTTAAATTACCGCTTAAACTAAATTTGCTGGATATTTAGTAGCGTTTTAGAAGAATAATATAGAAGAAGAAAGATAATTAAAGTAGTATATATTTATTCGTATTATATTAGGCCTTTAAATATTTGGGGTTCAATAAGAAATAGCTTCGATAACAATAATTTCAACCTTAAAATAAACTATAATTTCGCTAATTTTATATATTATACGTATCGAATCGGTTAATAAATTTTATTATTAATTATAATAACGAAGGGAACGAAGCTAATAAAACTGATAATATAGTTAATTATATAATTAATACGGTTAAGGAAAATTTATACTTATTACCCAATATCGGTATAAATTATTATTCTCTTTATAAATTTACTTATAAAATTAAATAATTAAAGGCAAACGAAAAGTAATAAAAGAAATAAAATCCTATATTTCTTTAATAATTTAATACGCTATATTTTCGCAAAATAATATTCGATTACTTATAAGAGCCTTATGATAACCCCAATTTAGAATATAAACGGCCAATACCCGAAGGATTTCATTATAATAATTCCGGCTATATACTTCATTTTAAGAAAATCCTATTAATACTCTTACGGATTTAAAATAGAAATAAAGCTTTTAATAAACTATTTATTAATACATTTACAAATCTAGTAGTTTTTTATTTATTTAAATAGTATAAACAATATACTTAAAATTTAATACCTTATGAATAGTGCGCTTTTAAAATTATTCTTAAAATATTTATATTTTAGAAGTTATAATATATAGTAATTAGACTACTTATTAATAACTATAGAAAATCCAATAAGTTTCTCTTTAATAATTTAGTCAAGTTAGAAGAAAAATTACTAGAAATTAGATAATAGTAATATTTTAACTATATTGAGGAATTAGTAACGTTCTATAAAGAATTAATATTAAAAATCTATAAGGATTAGAAGAAAGAAAAAAGTAAAGGATAAGCAATTCCTATTACTATTACTACTAATACTAACGATACTAGTAATATTAGCAATACTATCAATAATATAAAGCTTAGCGATATTATAAAACTTAATAGCCCTTCTATTCTTTCTTTATTTAAGCTATTATAAAACTATAAGGTTATCGATATATATTTTAATAAATATTTCGCTAAATAAACTACTCTACGAATATAAATATAAATTTAATAAAATTAACAAATTTAAAATTAAGAAACCTAAATTTAATAAATTAAAGAGGCAACTAATAAACTAATTCAACTAAAAAATAATGTAATTAATAAAATAACTAATAAAATAGTAAATAAACTAATTACTAAACTAATTCCTTAACCAATTACCCCTATACCCGTACAAATACTTAGTATTCAGCCGTCAATACTATTAATTATACCCGTACTAATATTTAATATTCGATTATTAACGCCGGCGTAGGTTATTCCTATACCCGTTCCTATACCTAACGTTCAACTATTAATACCGGTCCGCACTACTCCAATTAAGCGGACTATTCCCATTAAACGGGCTATTCTAATTAAACGGACTACCTAAGTTACTCCTATCCCCATTTCCGTACTTAATATTTAAATTACTATTACCCCTATTTAATCAATTTTTATAATTTTTAATACGGGAATATAGAATCTTTTTAATAAATCAATACTAAGAAGATAAATATAAGTAGCACTAACTAATTTTTATAACTTTTAATATAAGAGTATAAAATGTCTCCAATAAATTAATATTAAGGAAATAAATACAAATAGTACCTTTACTAGTAATAATATCATTAATAGTAATTACGCTAATTAAACGTATAGAAAAGAAGCGTAATATACATATACTAATATAGGGCTCGCTAATTTACAAAAAGTAAATAGAAAATAGGTTTATAATTATTATATATATCAATCTAATATTATTTATTAATATTAATATAATCAACGATATTTAAATCTATAGCGTAATTTTCTAAAGCCACAAAAAAAAGTCGTACCTTTTTATAATTTACTTCATCTACGACTTCAACTTCAACAATTCATTTAATAAATTTAATAAAAAATTAAAGGAGAATCTCCTTATTATATTATTAATATATTTAATATATATATATACTTAATCGTACAAATTATTATTATTATCGTTATTATTAAACCCGTAGCCCTATAAATTTTTATCTTTATTATTAAAAATACGGGCCCTTTCTTCGCTAATATTTAATATATTATTTTAAATTATAAATGTAATTATACTAAATAAAGGTTTCTAATTAATAATATTGAGGGGGAAAAGAATAATACTATTCTAAATATTAAACCTTTCTATAAACGTAATTTAACCTAGGGCAAAAAGATTTAACGTATCAAATACATTAGGATCTATATCCAATATATTTATCCTCCTCCTTATTATATTATCTTTATATAATTTTAAAATAGATAATATAATATTAGTAAAGGGATTTCTATTAATATAAATTCCCTTAGTAATACAACCTTAAAAGCGTTCCAATCCCCTTTTAATTGTAACGAGGATATTTGAATTGAGGGCGAATTATAAAAAGGTAACTTCAATATTATAAGTAGAATTTTTATAATTTTCAATATAGATAGCGTATACTTTATTCTAATATTTAA